GAAGAATAATGACGAGAGATTCACCGACAAATTTTACGCAAAAGTGCAGTTTAAAAGTTATAAGTAGCCTGTGACTACCTCAGACCACGCACGCAGTGTATGTTGCTTATGTTACTATATATCACAATGAGTGACGCCTGAGGTGTTGTAAACATTTTAGGGCAGCCGGCCGCTTAGACTTATTCACGATTACACTACGGATGTTTTATTGTTCACGTAAACAGTGAAATGCGTTGAATCGTTAACATTTATTGACATTGTTGGCTTTTTTAATTAACTTTAGTATGCGTTAGTTTTGGTAGACAGCATGTTTATGTGTTGGTTATTGGTTTCTTAGTAGACCGTGTATTTTATTTAGGATATCCCTTTTTATGTTGTAAAGTTTTTTAGCCGACAAGCTTTGGATAATAATTTCCGTCGTGTAAAATTTGACAAGGAAGTGTCAGGAGCCCATCAAATGATGGGCTCCTGGAAGTGTGAACTGCTCAGTTAAGCGTGCGACTTGTTTTGACATTTATCAACTTCTTTGCAGAGAGACCACCCTATCACCAACTAATCGACTGTTGATACATAGAATACATAATCTGTTAACGGTTTTTCTGGTAGTAAAAATTTACTCTTAGTCCTAGCATAAGCGTATACGAAAAGAAAAAAATCAAGGTTGTACAAAATTAGAGCAAACGCAAAATATATTTGTAAAATTCAATGCCCACAAGACTCGCTGTGTCACAAAATCTCCTTCCAAGAAGAAAAGCGATGAATATTGTGTGCCCATTAGATGTTACGCTCGACTTAACTGAACGACTTAAATTTGTAGATCTATTCATCCATGAATTAATTATGAATATGTAGCCATATGTATGTTTATTTCTTTCTTTTTTACAAGAATATTTAGTCAGGGGTTATCCCGTTCAGCGAGGCTGGTTTGAATGAGGCCCTGAAGAAGTTACTTAGGAGTTATTTTGGTTAAGGAGATTAGCTTTTTCAGACTACCAAGACACTTATAAAACATTAGTTTGCTTTATATTTTCTTTACCAATCATCTGTGACTGTTAGCATTTGAAAGAGAAATAAACGCCTAAGCTTGAGACGGCTTTTAGACTTAATTCTGTTATATGCTTTATCCCGGATTGTAGCGAATCCGTGAAATGACTGTGTACATGTAACTTTAAATGTTTTGGTAAACAAAAACGTTGAACTGGGTATTAGAAGTGTCTCTTATTGTCAGGTGTCTTACCGAGTAGGGTAGGAGCTGCTCGGAAAGTTTCTCTCAATTGGGGGCAGGGAACAATGACATGTCATTCTTTTAATTGTTTATGGTCAGGACTAGGCACTATTGGTCGCCTTGCTGGACACCAGTGGGTATTAACACACCGACTATAGTCTAAAGTAATTTGACGGTTATTTAATATCAGTAAAATCCAACTAGTTGTCTATTATCAATGCTGCGTTCTGATTGGTTGAGCTACTACCAGGCTGTATGTTATAGCCCACTAGTAGCGAAAAGCGAGGTCTCTTTGGCGGCAAAAAAGGATTAAAGTCTAGCTTTAACTAGCTAAAAAATTTTTATTCTCGATACAAGTTTTGACCAACTAGTTGGATTTTACTAAAACAATTATTCCTCTCGCCCTCATGGTCTCTGAGTCAATGCCCCATTTGGCCTTCGGCCTCATGGGCTATTAACTCCGAGCCCATTCGGGCTCGGGGAATATATGTTAAATAGTCTGCGCAAAAATCCCTTTACATTAATACAGTTGTAGGCCAAAAAGAAATTTCAAAAACAAGCACTGTTGTGATTTAGTTCATCTTTCCTTTTGAGCTATGTATCTCAAAGCGTCACAGGAATACCACCCAGTAGCTTTGCACGATCTGCATGGCTGCCATCAGACGTGGGAGCCGAGATTCATTCTTGCTAATGCAAGATGTAACATACATGTCCTTTCACGTTCGTTGACGGGGATTAAGCTACAAAAATATACCAAGATCCGGCCTTCAACGTCTTATTTCTTGATGAGCTTTCAAAGAATATCTGATAATCATGAGAAAGATAACATATGATGTGATTAGCAGATACGCTGGTCTACCGCAAGATTGTACATGTCGCGCGGTTTGCAAAGTATCGTGAAATGTGGCGCGTAATGTTTCGTTAACCATACCAAACTTCACGTAATGCGGGCACTCGGCAAATCTCTCTCTTTTGGAGGTACGTAGCCTGCGAACAGCAGAGGCATTTCTGGTCATTTCTCTCCTGATCGGAGGGAGAGAAGCGACCACCGGAAATGCGCAGGAGGTACAGTAAACTCTTGATAAACGGACACCTCGCCCTAGCTTCTTTGTTCTTTTTATTTGACTCTCTATAAGACGGACATATCTCCAAAGATCGTGCCAAAGATCTGCGTCTTAGGGGTGGACCATTTGATTTTTGATCGGGGGGTTGTGCAAATCCCCCAAAAAATATCGAGCATATGTTTCTGGTTAAAAAAAAATTTCTTGCAGAATTCTTAAGAAGGAAAAAAAAATCGAGCAGCCTTATAAACCTGGGCGTGGCAAAGGATTTTGCGTGATGCGTGACGGCCCCAAAAGTAGCTGTGAGTCACATGATACAGGACTGGGCATCACATTTTTTGATGCGTGAATTGGTATTTTGCAAACGCGACGCATGATTTACCAATTAGATTCCCTATTAAAGTGAACCCTCTGATCTAGAAGGATATTATGATTCAAAGATATTCATGCATTCAGATTCCCACCATAACAGTTGTCACGTGCAGGTATTTTTGTAACAAAATAAGATTTACTTTATAGAAAAGGAAATGGGACAAACAAGAGTGAAGGCAGGCCACATTGGATTGGTGCAGGGTTCAAAATATACAAAGAATGTGAAACGGATGCGCTGGATATGTGCACGAGACAAAAGACGATCAAATAGATCGAAGAGCATTTTTTCCCTCTGGGTCATTGGTGTTTTTGCAGAGTTCTATTACTTTTGTGTTCATTGCCTATTTTCAAGCCAAGAAAATAATAGTAAACAGTCTGTAGCACATAAATTAAAACGTATAAATTGTTTTAATTATTTAGGCCTTGAAATATTGTAATTTTATAGATCATGTACCTATATAAAAGATGATTCAAAGGGGTCAACTACCAATCTGATTTTCTCACCTATTGACAACTGTAGTAACAAATGTTTATTTAGCAATGTCTTTAATAAACCACAAGCTGGCAGAAATTGTCTATATTTATCCATCAAGAACACTTGAGCCTTAAGAATAATAACACTTTAAAATTTTCTTTATAAATGAACAAGGTTGTCTTCAACATCCTGTACATCTGCATATCTAGCCAAATGCAGGTTATATCCCCTCCAGCTGCTTCTACGTCCACTCGAAATTCGTCTAAACTGGTAAAATCTACAGTGAGGTCCCCATTTCTTGAACCCTCCTTTTCTTTTAAACTCTAGATAACTCCAAATACTAAATGCATATATTGAGAAGCCAGATTACTGTGCAATTTCTCCTTATTTGAAGTCCCTCTCTCTTGCTTTGAAAGCAAAGAACAGGATTCAAATAAGATGGAATTTCCAGCTCGCCCTTTGGACAAGTTGGAACCATTACACACAAGTTTGAAAGCTTTTCTCAGTAGCATTACGTAATTAGAAAGAAAAAAACGTTCACTTGTTCAGTGGGCAAGTGATCTGTTGGGCAAGTACAGAGAGTGATGCATATAACATCCACTAGCCTGACAGAGAAATCAACTAGCCGCAGGTTAGTGGAGATGCATTTCTTTGTACACTGAATAAAGATGAAACTCTTTATTACTTTGAAAGAAAGATGTAAACTTCAAAATGCATTGCCTGTAAAGGTGGTTTTTAATAGCCTAAAGGGTGAATTTTGAGTGGCTGGTGATGGTCAAGTTATTAAACTTCAAAATTTGTGTTTTAAATTTCCATTTAAAAAAATATCATGCAAGGACAGGGAGATTAAAAAAAAAATCCTGCAGGGCTGGAGCAATAAAAAAAAATATCTAGCAGTCTAAAAATCCTGCAAACCCCCCATCAAAAATCAAATGGTCCACCCCTTAGAGAAGAAAGAGCCTGCAAAGGTACTCGATAACTGACAAGTATCTATTATGACACGAGAACGGCCCTGTATAGCGTCAAGAATCGAATATGAGGTGGATGTGACAAGTTATTTTAGAAAATCAGGTACCTCATATTTGGAATGGTCACCGCTTATCTCAACAACTTGTTTACCTTCCAAGCCCAGCATTTGTTGGACAATTTCTAAAGTGGGCGAAAAATCACCGTGATAAAAAAGAAAAAAAAACTCTTATATCCAACGCAAAGTAAATCTAGCTTTACCTTTCTGATCGGCGAAATCATCGAAAAATTCCCCTGTTATAACAAAAGCATAAATTACTTAGCAAATATAACTTTAAGAACAACAACACAAAATGTTAGAAGCCACTGTCTGCCTTGGTTTTGAAACGCCATTTCTGAATACCCAGAAGGATGTATATACGACACGTACAAATCGCAGTTGGAGAATAGTCCGTTTCTCCAAAGATAATAGACCTTGTCACGGTTTTCGACGCCATCTTGACGACGGTAGGCAAAAGCGTGAGAAATTACAGTGTTTGTATGAGAATCTAATGTCGAATAATTTCCGTAAAACGGCTGTTCTGAAAAAAAAATATCAATTGTAAACTAAAGCTACAGAGCAAAGGATTGTCCAAAAAAATTTGGGGGGCGTACCTGTGCTTAAATTTCTCCAGAGGCTTGCTTTAGATTTTCCATATATTTGTCTGTAATTTTCCCGGGACTTTCGTACAGACAATGTATAGAAAATTTTAAAAAGTGGTTCTAGGTCTTCTATTGCATGTAGGAGAATCCTTAGGATTGAAGCTTTAGTTTACAAATCATATTTTTTTCAGAACAGTCGTTCTACGGAAATTATTCGACAATAGATCCTCATACAAACATTGTAATTTTTCACGCGTTTGCCTACTCGTCAAGATGGCGTCGAAAACCGTGACAAGGTCTATTTTACAAGGTAACCAAAAGGAATCCGGGAAAATTTTGCTGGCCTTGGAATCCGAAATACAGCTCAAGGAATCGGGACGCCCACTCATAGCTAACGATTGGAAACCAGAATCCAAGTTCCACTGTCAAAGACTTAAAATATTTAAATCTTGAAGACGATAATGGCAACTGATTATGCTCAGGGGAAGTGACCATTTGGTGTATCAGAGGTGTGCACAGCAAGCAATATATCTTTTGAGGAAATATTAATGACGTTAAACTTCTGAAACTTGTCGAAAACCGAACTGTACTAAAATCGTCGTCTCGTTTTGAGAGAGTAAACAAACTCGATACGGAATTACTCGTATTGGAAAATGTTATCACTTGTTTTTCCCCTGAAATGCCATTTGTCATTCGGCTTTTATCCCATCACACCTAAGGCGCGCACGAAGATGTCGGGTATCGTAAACAAGGTCTATTCAAACGCTACACATTTATCTCACACGATATGTCCTGATACTGGCAAGCCACCGTTACATTGTGTATCGCTGTAAATCTACCCACTACGGGCTCTGCTATATTGGACTAACATCATACGAGCCCGAGAGAATTGCACAGGGTACTCCTATAAAACTCAAGTCATGTAGATTCAGCTGTAAATTATTTTTCAAGTTTTTGAGTAAATATTAACCCTCCTGTTTGCTAACGCGCTGACGTGTTCATAAGTCATGCATCCACCCATACTTCAGACTGATCCACCGCTAAAGTCGCCGGTTCGACGGTGTACTTGTTATGTCCGTGCACAGTAGCATCTCTCTTTATGGTGATAACACTTCCATGGGAAGCCAGCACTCGTATCTTTTCTGAGTGATTTCGATGGACGGGCTCCTCAATCAGAAAACCGTTATCAACATGATATTCTGTGAAGAGAAAACGTTTCAATTAGTACTGGTCTCCATGCGCATTGCATAAGTAATCCTTCTAATGCGCCCGTACCTCCAGATCGCCCAGGCTTTCGGTAAACATTGACAACTCCATGGGTTGGCACCCATATTTTGAGTATTTCGTATTTTTTTGCCTCCATACCATCCATAGGATCTTAACTGTAAACTTCAAAGAAGCGAAATAACATCAGAATAGTGAAAATAACATCCATGGATGACCGATCATGCACAGACTGTTAGGTCTTAATTACTGGTGGACACATGACGACCAATGATTGACATCACCAGCAGAGCGTTTTGTTTGGGTCACAAAGAGCCAAAATTTACCGCGAGTTAGAAGAGACCTTCAAACCCTAATCGTGTTTAAGGTCGTTTAAGACAAAACATTGTTCATTTCCCTACCTTGTTTAAGATGAGACCTTTTTTATTACTTTGATACGTTTAAACCTCGGACGTACACGCAGTCATACCGCTACCGTAGTACAAGTGAGGGATGGGGTGGGGGGAGGTTGTTGGCGGGGTGATGGAGCCCCCTTCGAGTTTTTGATACGTTGCAGTATTTCAAAAGGATTTCATACCTTCAGTGGAAAGCCTTTGATCTTCTCGACAAGATGGGATTATATAATACTTTATGGGTGTTGGCCATGCTGGCATCCTGGATTTTACCCAGAACGAGCATCAGGTTATAAAATGGAGATAATTGGTATTTTTTTATGCTTCACATGTAGACTAACATATAGATAAGTACTTTGCTTCATTTTATCCACAAGCTTTATCTTTTCACCTTGAAACACGTAGAAAAACATGCATTAGAAAATGGCTTGAACACCTACCACTTACGACCTCATATCTCGTAAGCAAGTAACTGATCATCACAAAGCTTGTCTCAAAATGCGTGCGAGGAATAAACAAGCAGCTACTGAAGAAAACGCTAGGTGCTGAGGTTTAATCGTTCAGGACGGAAAAAACTCTGAAAAACCCCAGGGGGCCTGGGAGTAGCATCCATCCCTCCTCGTCCTAGGGTTAAGTATGATTTTCAAACTAAATTGCTGGCAGCACAAATGCAGACCCCTCATCGCCATCCCTCACACTCATGTTTTAAAGTCTTCTGGTCGAAACAGACACCCTTTTCATGACGCTAAATTCTGAAATAGAATACCCTGAAAAAGACTCAAGACCCTGAAAACCATATATACCCAGTTCAGGGGCACATTCCCGTCTAGGCCGCCAAAAAGGGAGTGCTTTTCCGAGCACAACTCTGTCTTAAAGCCGCACACCCCTGGGACATGCACTCTATGTGCATCTTAGGGAAACGCCCGTCTTGTAATGACACTACTTAAAAAGAGGAACAAATGACAGGGACTAACTGCGGCGTTTTAGCGAGATGTAAGTTTTACGGAGATGTCCGATACTGTAAGGAGAGAGATTTGACCCGGGACTCTTTGACGTTTGTACCTCTTTATATTCTCGGTACATTACTTAACTCACCGTTGGATTTGGAGGTGCAAGATAGCTCTCTCGAAATATCCTTTTAGTGGTTCCAAAGATTTAGAAATGTAGTGTTCGTAAGAACGTATGTGAAATGGGTAAAATTTTTAATGGGTGCAAAAGAGTACTTTTTCTGTTACAAATAGTATATTAAAGTACAAGGAGAGTAAAATTTAATAGAATATTACAATAGTGAGGGCTTGGACCTCTGGCAGTCTGGCACCTAGGTTATGGACTCGCTGTATAAAATGCCCGTGATCCTCTCTCTCGGGAATGAGGGAAAGACGATCAACTCTGGAAAGCAAAATACAGATTTGGAGGAGAAAGTCTGCATGCTTCAGTCCCTGAATGCAAAATATCTCACTTCTGGACTAAATTGAGTCCAACTCTGGCTCGATTTTTCTCTTTTTAACAATCGGTTTGTAAAATGTAAAAAAATAACAAGCAGCTCTGGTTTGTGTTATTGATGCTGGAGATCTTTCCATCTGATTTGGCAAGAATATAAAAAATATAATTCTCGATATTTTTGCTTTTACTTTATAGGCTTGAATGTGTGTAGGTGTGAGTTGTTTCTTTCTTAAGACGGCGCCGTTTTATATAATTCAATGAAATTTGGACGTCAATCGGAAGTTTTAAAACACAGGCGAAAAAACAGAGAAAGGCGAAATAAAACAAAAGGAATGACAGATAACAATGGAAAGGGAAAATGCGACGTCGCGTTACCATGGTAGCAAAATTTCTGGAACTCAACAATCTTTCTTGACAGAAAAGGCCATTTGCACTGTCGAACAATGGTAGAAAAGTTTGGGGCACAGGAAAGACATATATAACAATTTGTTTGCGTTTTTTTTGCCATATTTGTAGGACCACGGTTTCTTGAGATCCAAGATTTTTTCCTCTACAGCCAGTTAAAAACATATTACACAGGAGCCGAGAAGAATAATTTCGTAATTCACTATCGAATTGTTTGCTTTCTCCAGTCATAACGACCGAGTTTGCCAGAACCCTTTCCACCTCTGCAAGCCTGTTCATGAAGCTTGGCCTTCCAGCCCTTGAGCGAAAGAGTTGAACTTGTTTCACTCATCGGTCCTTTTTTATTGGTGGCAACATGAGGGGCACGTGACCCGTACCGATTCCTGGCAAAGCAGGCTGGGATCTCTGTGACGTAGAAGCTGGGAGCTGGTTCTTTACTTTCTTGGTTATGGCTCGTACCAGGTCTCTAGCGTGTTTGAGGCTATAGGCTAAAACAAAAAAAAAATGTTTTCTTGTTTTAGTATAGATATTGATATATCGAGTATTGATTTCGACCAAGAAAATTAAAAATCTTGCCAAAACCAGATAGTTCATTACTTCTCTGTATAGAGCGTTTTCACATGACGTCATGGGCGGCCAAGTTGACGTTCCAAGCCAGTCTCGTGGGAATTGAACTCTTTTCCTATGAAAACTCTTTCTTTAGTTCCAATAAATTTGCATGGACGCTGGGCACAAGAAAGAAAGCATTCCGCCCCTAAAAAAGAAACTGAGATTCTCCGAACTCTTCCTTGTCTTTTTCCGTTTGCTGTTCCCACGTAAACAACTCGATAAAGGGAGCTTAAGCAACAGCGTTTTTGAGCGACGTACGTCAACCGGAAGTGGACTTTTTGCATCGTTGGGGAGCGGTTTGCTTGAAACTCTCCGGTAAATCGTCTTTAAAAGAGAAAAGAAACTCAGCAATACAAGTTTGTTAGCGTCAAGGCATATAAAAAGGGAGAGCGCCTCACTTCCGGTTGACGTGCGTTGCTCAAAAACGTCTTTGCTTAAGGTCCCTATTGACCCATTCAAATAATAAAAAGGCAAGAAACAAGTGGAGAGAAAGTTTGGTGACTGGTTTCCCCAAACTCACGCGTTTGTGTATCGACGGTTTACCTTTCAATCGGGCTTTGATCTCTTCATTAAAGTAACCGCATTCAATCCACTCCTCAAAATCAGAAATAAAATCAAAGGCTGTCAGCCCTGTAAGATAACGAACAAACATAAGCAAACAGGTGACATGGTCAATAAGAACTCTTCTTATATGGCTAAATCCGCGCGCGAGCAAGATGAGGCGAATCCTTCATTCTGATTGGCTACCCGAACGGGCAAGATGCTCGAGATTTCCCGCGTTGGTCCCTAAGTTAAAGTTCTCTTTTTGGCCAATTTTGTTCGGTCATCCACCGCTCTCTCGGGCCTCCCCGAGAAGAGACAGGCCGGACCGTCTGTTCCGGGTAGGAGCGCGGGCTCATTTCCCCACCAGCGGCTGGTGATAGAGCCTAGACTTTGTCTCGGTCAATAAAAGTGCAACAAAGAACTTGGCCAATATGTAGCCATCTTGACCAAACAAGCTTGGTCAATAATGCAGACTAGGAGCCCATCAGGCTCCTGTGCAGACATAACACAAAGGTGTTTACGACTTCTAAACTAAGATAAAGAAACACGCTTTTACCGTACCTTGTAGATTTCGTAACCGCACATTAGCTCCTGTTTGCACAAAAGAAAAAAAAAAATTACCTTGAAATGAAATGCGTAATACTTAAAAATGATCCAAACTCGTTACCAGGGCCCTTTGCTACTCGACCCCGAGAACGAGGTTGACATTAATCGCTTAATTGACTGAATAAAAGATTGGTAACCAATCATGGCGTTTAGGGATTAAAATGGCCTCGATTCTTGTATTTGTACTTCAATTCCATTATGCAACATAGACTATAGAAAATCGCGTTGCTGTGGAAAGGCATTTTCAAATTGCAAAACACTCCTACAATAAAGTCAAAGTGAAAGTCAACTTCACTTAGGCAGGGTAGCCCTATCAGCCTTTGGTTCGTATCAAAAGGGGCCCTGCAATACAGGTGTTTCGTCTTATTCATAGATCACATGTAGCCTCTCTTTTTTCTTAGTCTGTCGAGCGAAACACGCGAAAGACGAAATGACCACGCGTGTGGCTGAGGGCGACACATTATAGAGCGTTTGCACATGACGTCACGGCGGCCATGTTGGTGTCCCAAACTAGTTCTGTGGGAGTTGGACTCTTTTCTTATGTAACCGCTTTCTTTTGTTCCAATAAATTTGCATAGATGCTGGTCACGTCAGTCGTATTTCTTACAACTGACGCATAAGTAATTGCTGACGTCATAGAATAGATATAGTTGACAATAAAAAGGTGTAGAATTTCTCAATAAGTATCCTAAACTAATTAATAGTCCCTCTGTCTTTAAATACCGTGGTTAAGAAGAAGGCTAGCAGCATACAAATTGTTTGACTGAGTGGCGTAAAACAGTGGCGAGCACAGGTCATCATTCATAGCATCGACATCAGCGTTAAACGAGAGCAACAGCTCCAAGAGATCCGAAGCATTCACCAAGCCAGCGGTGAGATGTAAAGCCCTGGAAAACGAAAAAAAAGGGCTGAAGACACGTGTCGGCAAGGCCAGGCTCCTGTATTCTTGCATTGTGTCAGGGGTATTTGTATTTAAAAAAAATTTCGGTATATGTGACTTCAAAAATCGCAGATATACCTTTCGTTCCTCAACAAGAAAGTAAATAATGACAGAAACAAAAACAATTCTTACGTGTTTCCTCCAGGGTACGTTGGGTTAACGGAAGCACCTTTTCCCAATAGAAATCGCACAGTCTCGACACGATTGCCACTGAAAACCAATACAATAAGACCGTAGATTATTCAATAACTTAACGCACGTATCCTTTCCCGTTTTCGCCTAAGTGATTATGCAAGCATTTATAATTTAAGTATTAGGCTTTAAGGACTACACTACTGCAATGGTCGCAAACCGCTCAAGTTTCAAATCTATCCAGCAGTATCTCTAGTTATATACCAACTGCTTGTATTCCTGCTTGTAGCAAGCCCAATCAACCCAATAATCTCAGTCATCGCAGTCATCCCTAGTGCTCCCCAATTATGCCTAACCATCAGATTCATCCCCAGTCATCCCTACTCATTCCTAGACATCCCTAGTCATCCCCACACATCCCTAGACATCCCTCGTCATCCCTAGTCATCCAAATCGTAACTAGTCATCCCTACTCATCCCTAGTCATCCCACGTCATCAATAGTCATACCCAGTTATCCCTAGTCATCCCAATCATGCCTAGTCATGCCTAGTAATCCCTAGTCATCACTAGTCATCCCAGTCATCCCTAGTCATCTCTATTCATCCGTAGTCATCAAAGCCATCCCTAGTCATCCCAGTCATCCCTAGTCATCGCAGTCATCCAAGTCATCCCTACTCATCCCTAGTCATCCCAGTCATCCCTAGTCATCCCTAGTCCTCCCTAGTCCTCCCTAGTCATCCCAGTAATCAATAGTCATCCCTAGTCATCCCTAGTCATCCCTAATCATCCCTAGTCATCCCAGTCATCCCTAGTCATCCCAAGTCATCCCTAGTCATCCCAGTCAACAATAGTCATAACTAGTCATTCCTAGTCATACCAGTCATCCCTACTCACCCCAGTCATCCCAAGTCATCCCAGTCATCCCTAATCATCCCTAGTCATCCCAGTCATCCCTAGTCATACCTAGTCATCCCTAGTCATCCCAAGTCATCCCAGTCATCCCTAGTCATCCCTAGTCATCCCTTAGTCATCCCAAGTCATCCCAGTGATCCCTAGTCATCCCTAGTCATCCAAGTCATCCCTAGATATCCCAAGTCATACCTAGTCATCCCAAGTCATCACAAACATCCCAAGTCATCCCAAGTCATCCCACTCATCCCTAGTCATCCCAGTCATCCCAGTCATCCCTAGTAATCCCTAGTCATCCCTAGTCATCCCAGTCATCCCTAATCATCCCTAGTCATCCCAAGTCATCCCTAGTCATCCCAGTCATCCCAAGTCATCCCAGTCATCCCTACTCATCCCTAGTCATCCCTAGTCATCCCAGTCATCAATAGTCATCCCTAGACATCCCAGTCATCCCAAGTCATCCCAGTCATCCCTAGTCATCCCAAGTCATCCCAAGTAATCCCTAGTCATCCCAGTCATCCCAAGTCATCTTTAGTCATCCCAGTCATCCCTAGTCATCCCTAGTCATCATAAGTCATCCCTAGTCATCCCTAGTCATCCCAGTCATCCGAACTCATCTTTAGTCATCCCAGTCATTCCTAGTCATCCCTAGTCATCCCTAGTAATCCCGGTCATCCCTAGTCATCAATAGTCATCCCTAGTCATCCCTAGTCATCGCAGTCATCCCAAGTCATCCCAAGTCATCCCAGTCGTCCCTAGTCATCCCTAGTAGTCCCAGTCATCCCTAGTCATCCCAAGTAATCCCTAGTCATCTCAGTCATCCCAAGTCATCTTTAGTCATCAAAGTCATCTTTAGTCATCAAAGTCATCCCTAGTCATCCTAAGTCATCCCTAGTCATCCCTAGTCATCCAAGTAATCCGAAGTCATCTTTAGTCATCCCAGTCATCCCTAGTCATCCCTAGTCATCAATAGTCATCCCTAGTCATCCCAGTCATCCCTAGTCATCCCAGTCATCCCTAGTCATCCCTAGTCATCCCTAGTCATTCCTAGACATCCCTACTCATCCCGGTCATCCCTAGTCATTCCTAGTCATCAATAGTCATCCCTAGTCATCCCTAGTTATCCCAGTCATCCCTAGTCATCCCTAGTCATCCCTAGTCATCCCCGTCATCCCTAGTCATCCCAATCATCCCAAGTCATCCCAGTCATCCCTAGTCATCCCTAGTCACCCCAGTCATCCCTAGTCATCCCAAGTCATCCCAGTCATCCCTAGTCATCCCTAGTCATCCCAAGTCATCCCAGTCATCCCTAGTCATCCCTAGTCATCCCTAGTCATCCCAATTTATCCCAGTCATTCCTAGTCATCCAAATCATCCCTAGTAATCCCTAGTTATCCCTAGTCGTCCCTAGTCATCCCAAGTCATCACAAACATCAATAGTCATCCCAAGTCATCCCAGTCATCGCTAGTCATCCCTAGTCATCCCAGTCATCCCTAGTCATCCCTAGTCATCCCTAGTCATCCCCGTCATCCCTAGTCATCCCTAGTCATCCCAAGTCATCCCTAGTCATCCCAGTCATCCCTAGTCATCCATAGTCATCCCAGTCGTCAATAGTCATCCCTAGTAATCCCAGTCATCCCAAGTCATCCCAAGTCATCCCTTGTCATCCCAGTAATCCCAAGTCATCCCTTGTCCTCCCTAGTCATCCCTAGTCATCCCAGCCATCCCTAGTCATCCCTAGTCATCGCAGTCATCCCTAGTCATCCCTAGTCATCCCAAGTAATCCCTAGTCATCCCAGTCATCCCAAGTCATCTTTAGTCATACCGTCATCCGTAGTCATCCATAGTCATCCCTAGTCATCCTAAGTCATCCCTAGTCATCCCTAGTCATCCAAGTCATCCGAAGTCATCTTCAGTCATCCCAGTCATCCCTAGTCATACCCAGTCATCCCTAGTCATCCCAGTCATCCCTAGTCATCCCTAGTCATCCCAGTCATCTCTAGTCATCCCTAGTCATCCAAGTCATCTCTAGTCATCCCTAGTCATCCATAGACATCCCTAGAAATCCCGGTCATCCCTAGTCATCCCTAGTTATCCCAGTCATCCCTAGTCATCCCTAGTCATCCCCGTCATCCCTAGTCATCCCAATCATCCCAAGTCATCCCAGTCATCCCTAGTCATCCCTAGTCATCCCAGTCATCCCTAGTCATACCAGTCATCTCTAGTCATCCCTAGTCATCCCTAGACATCCCTAGTCATCCCGGTCATCCCTAGTCATCCCTAGTCATCCCTACTTATCCCAGTCATCCCTAGTCATCCCTAGTAATCCCCGTCATCCCTAGTCATCCCAATCATCCCAAGTCATCCCAGTCATCCCTAGTCATCCCTAGTCATCCCAGTCATCGATAGTCATCCCAAGTAATCCCAGTCATCCCTAGTCATCCCAGTCATCCCTAGTCATCCCTTGTCATCCCCAGTCATCCAAACTCATCCCAGTCATCCCTAGTCATCCCTAGTTATCCAAGGCATCCCTAGTCATCCCTAGTTATCCCTAGTCGTCCCTAGTCAACCCAAGTCATCACAAACATCCCCAGTCATCCCAAGTCATCCCACTCATCGCTAGTCATCCCTAGTCATCCCAGTCATCCCAAGTCATCCCAAGTCATCCCTAGTCATCCAAGTCATCCATAGTAATCCCTAGTCATCCCAAGTAATCCCTAGTCATCCCAGACATCCCAAGTCCTCTTTAGTCATCCAAGTCATCCCTAGTCATCCCTAGTCATCCTAAGTCATCCCTAGTCATCCCTAGTCATCCCAGTCATCCGAACTCATCTTTAGTCATCCCAGTCATCCCTAGTCATCCCTCGTCATCCTAGTAATCCCGGTCATCCCTAGTCATCAATAGTCATCCCTAGTCATCCCTAGTCATCCCAGTCACCCCAAGTCATCCCAACTCATTACGGTCATCCCTAGTCATCCCTAGTCGTCCCAGTCATCCCTAGTCATCCCATGCAATCCCTAGTCATCTCAGTCATCCCAAGTCATCTTTAGTCATCCCAGTCATCCCTAGTCATCCTAAGTCATCCCTAGTCAACCCTAGTCATCCCAGTCATCCGAACTCATCTTTAGTCGTCCCAGTCATCACCAGTCATCCGTAGTCATAAATAGTCATCCCTAGTTATCCCTAGTCATCCCAGTCATCCCAACTCATCCCAAGTCATCCCTAGTCATCCCAGTCATCCATAGTCACCCCTAGTCGTCCCAGTCATCCCTAGTCATCCCAAGTCATCCCTAGTCATCCCAGTCATCCCGAGTCATCTTTAGTCATCTCAGTCATCCCTAGTCATCCTAAGTCATCCCTAGTCATCCCTAGTCATCCCTAGTCATCCCTAGTCATCCCAGTCATCCCTAGTCATCAATAGTCATCCCTAGTCATCCCAACTCATCCCAAGTCATCCCAGTCATCCCTAGTCATCCCTAGTCATCCCTAGTCATCCCTAAACATCCTTACTCATCCCAGTCATCCCTCAGTCATCCCTAGTCATCAATAGTCATCCCAGTCATCCGAACTCATCTTTAGTCATCCAAGTCATCCCTAGTCATCCCTAGTCATCCCTAGTCATCCCAGTCATCCCTAGTCATCAATAGTCATCCCTAGTCATCCCTAGTCATCGCAGTCATCCCAAGTCATCCCAAGTCATCCCAGTCATCCCTAGTCATCCCTAGTCATCCCAGTCAACCCTAGTCGTCCCAGTCATTCCTAGTCATCCCAAGTAATCCCCAGTCATCTCAGTCATAGCAAGTCATCTTTAGTCATCCCAGTCATACCAAGTCATCCTAAGTCATCCCTAGTCATCCCTCGTCATCCCAGTCATCCGAAGTCATCTTTAGTCATCCCAGTCATCCCTAGTCATCAATAGTCATCCCTAGTCATCCCTAGTCATCCCAGTCATCCAAACTCATCCCAAGTCATCGAAGTCATCCCTAGTCATCCCAGTCATCCCTAGTCATCCCTAGTCGTCCCAGTCATCCCTAGTCATCCCAAGTCATCAATAGTCATCCCAGTCATCCCAAGTCATCTTTAGTAATCTCAGTCATCCGTAGTCATCCCTAGTCATCCCCAGTCATCCCAGTCATCCCAAGTCATCTTTAGTCATCCCAGTCATCCCTAGTCATCTCTAGTCATCCCAGTCATCCCTAGTCATCCCAGTCATCCCTAGTCATCCCTAGTCATCCCAGTCATCCATAGATATCTCTAGTCATCCCAAGTCATCAAAAACATCCCTAGTCATCCCAAGTCATCCCAGTCATCCCTTGTCATCCCCAAACATCCCAGTCATCCCCTGTCATCCCTAGTCATCCCAGTCATCCCTAGTCATCCCTAGTCATCCCAAGTCATCCCTAGTCATCCCAGTCATCCCAAGTCATCCCAGTCATCCCTAGTCATCCCTAGTCATCCCAGTCATCAATAGTCATCCTTAGACATCCCAGTCATCCCAAGTAATCCCAAGTCATCCCAGTCATCCCTAGTCATCCCAAGTAATCCCTAGTCATCCCAGTCATCCCAAGTCATCTTTAGTCATCCCAATCATCCCTAGTCAACCCTAGTCATCCTACGTCATCCCTAGTCATCCCTAGTCATCCCAAGTCATCCCAGTCATCCTTAGTCATCCCTAGTCATCCCTAGTCATCCCAATTCATCCCAGTCATTCCTAGTCATCCAAATCATCCCTAGTAATCCCTAGTTATCCCTAGTCGTCCCTAGTCATCCCAGGTCATCACAAACATCAATAGTCATCACAAGTCATCCCAGTCATCGCTAGTCATCCCTAGTCATCCCAGTCATCCCTAGTCATCCCTAGTCATCCCTAGTCATCCCCGTCATCCCTACTCATCCCTAGTCATCCCAAGTCATCCCTAGTCATCCCAGTCATCCCTAGTCATCCATAGTCATCCCAGTCGTCAATAGTCATCCCTAGTAATCCCAGTCATCCCAAGTCATCCCTTGTCATCCCAGTAATCCCAAGTCATCCCTTGTCCTCCCTAGTCATCCCTAGTCATCCCAGCCATCCCTAGTCATCCCTAGTCATCGCAGTCATCCCTAGTCATCCCTAGTCATCCCAAGTAATCCCTAGTCATCCCAGTCATCCCAAGTCATCTTTAGTCATACCGTCATCCGTAGTCATCCATAGTCATCCCTAGTCCTCCTAAGTCATCCCTAGTCATCCCTAGTCATCCCAGTCATCCGAAGTCATCTTCAGTCATCCCAGTCATCCCTAGTCATACCCAGTCATCCCTAGTCATCCCAGTCATCCCTAGTCATCCCTAGTCTTCCCAGTCATCTCTAGTCATCCATAGTCATCCCAGTCATCTCTAGTCATCCCTAGTCATCCATAGACATCCCTAGTCATCCCGGTCATCCCTAGTCATCCCTAGTTTTCCCAGTCATCCCTAGTCATCCCTAGTCATCCCCGTCATCCCTAGTCATCCCAATCATCCCAAGTCATCCCAGTCATCCCTAGTCATCCCTAGTCATCCCAGTCATCCCTAGTCATCCCTAGTCATCCCAGTCATCTCTAGTCATCCCTAGTTATCCCTAGACATCCCTAGTCATCCCGGTCATCCCTAGTCATCCCTAGTCATCCCTACTTATCCCAGTCATCCCTAGTCATCCCTAGTCATCCCCGTCATCCCTAGTCATCCCAATCATCCCAAGTCATCCCAGTCATCCCTAGTCATCCCTAGTCATCCCAGTCATCGATAGTCATCCCAAGTAATCCCAGTCATCCCTAGTCATCCCAGTCATCCCTAGTCATCCCTTGTCATCCCCAGTCATCCAAACTCATCCCAGTCATCCCTAGTCATCCCTAGTTATCCAAGGCATCCCTAGTCATCCCTAGCTATCCCTAGTCGTCCCTAGTCAACCCAAGTCATCACAAACATCCCCAGTCATCCCAAGTCATCCCACTCATCGCTAGTCATCCCTAGTCATCCCAGTCATCCCAAGTCATCCCAAGTCATCCCTAGTCATCCAAGTCATCCCTAGTCATCCCTAATCATCCCAAGTAATCCCTAGTCATCCCAGACATCCCAAGTCATCCTTAGTCATCCAAGTCATCCCTAGTCATCCCTAGTCATCCTAAGTCATCCCTAGTCATCCCTAGTCATCCCAGTCATCCGAACTCATCTTTAGTCATCCCAGTCATCCCTAGTCATCCCTCGTCATCCCTAGTAATCCCGGTCATCCCTAGTCATCAATAGTCATCCCTAGTCATCCCTAGTCATCCCAGTCACCCCAAGTCATCCCAACTCATTACGGTCATCCCTAGTCATCCCTAGTCGTCCCAGTCATCCCTAGTCATCCCATGCAATCCCTAGTTATCTCAGTCATCCCAAGTCATCTTTAGTCATCCCAGTCATCCCTAGTCATCCTAAGTCATCCCTAGTCAACCCTAGTCATCCCAGTCATCCGAACTCATCTTTAGTCATCCCAGTCATCACCAGTCATCCGTAGTCATAAATAGTCATCCCTAGTTATCCCTAGTCATCCCAGTCATCCCAACTCATCCCAAGTCATCCATAGTCATCCCAGTCATCCATAGTCATCCCTAGTCGTCCCAGTCATCCCTAGTCATCCCAAGTCATCCCTAGTCATCCCAAGTCATCTTTAGTCATCCCAGTCATCCGAAGTCATCTTTAGTCATCTCAGTCATCCCTAGTCATCCTAAGTCATCCCTAGTCATCCCTAGTCATCCCTAGTCATCCCAGTCATCCCTAGTCATCCATACTCATCCCTAGTCATCCCAGTTATCCCAACTCATCCCAAGTCATCCCAGTCATCCCTAGTCATCCCTAGTCATCCCTAGTTATCCCTAAACATCCCTACTCATCCCAGTCATCCCTAGTCATCAATAGTCATCCCAGTCATCCGAACTCATCTTTAGTCATCCAAGTCATCCCTAGTCATCCCTAGTCATCCCTAGTCATCCCAGTCATCCCTAGTCATCAATAGTCATCCCTAGTCATCCCTAGTCATCGCAGTCATCCCAAGTCATCCCAAGTCATCCCAGTCATCCCTAGTCATCCCTAGTCATCCCAGTCAACCCTAGTCGTCCCAGTCATTCCTAGTCATCCCAAGTAATCCCCAGTCATCTCAGTCATAGCAAGTCATCTTTAGTCATCCCAGTCATACCTAGTCATCCTAAGTCATCCCTAGTCATCCCTCGTCATCCCAGTCATCCGAAGTCATCTTTAGTCATCCCAGTCATCCCTAGTCATCCCTAGTCATCAATAGTCATCCCTAGTCATCCCTAGTCATCCCAGTCATCCAAACTCATCCCAAGTCATCGAAGTCATCCCTAGTCATCCCAGTCATCCCTAGTCATCCCTAGTCGTCCCAGTCATCCCTAGTCATCCCAAGTCATCAATAGTCCTCCCAGTCATCCCAAGTCATCTTTAGTCATCTCAGTCATCCGTAGTCATCCCTAGTCATCCCCAGTCATCCCAGTCATCCGAAGTCATCTTTAGTCATCCCAGTCATCCCTAGTCACCTCTAGTCATCCCAGTCATCCCTAGTCATCCCAGTCATCCCTAGTCATCCCTAGTCATCCCAGTCATCCCTAGATATCCCTAGTCATCCCAAGTCATCAAAAACATCCCTAGTCATCCCAAGTCATCCCAGTCATCCCTAGTCATCCCCAAACATCCCAGTCATCCCTAGTCATCCCTAGTCATCCCAGTCATCCCTAGTCATCCCTAGTCATCCCAAGTCATCCCTAGTTATCCCAGTCATCCCAAGTCATCCCAGTCATCCCTAGTCATCCCTAGTCATGCCAGTCATCAATAGTCATCCTTAGACATCCCAGTCATCCCAAGTAATCCCAAGTCATCCCAGTCATCCCTAGTCATCCCAAGTAATCCCTAGTCATCCCAGTCATCCCAAGTCATCTCTAGTCATCCCAATCATCCCTAGTCATCCCTTGTCATCCTACGTCATCCCTAGTCATCCCTAGTCATCCCAGTCATCCGAACTCATCTTTAGTCATCCAAGTCATCCCTAGTCATCCCTAGTCATCCCTAGTCATCCCAGTCATCCCTAGTCATCAATAGTCATCCCTAGTCATCGCAGTCATCCCAAGTCATCACAAGTCATCCCAGTCATCCCTAGTCATCCCAGTCATCCCAAGTCATCCGTAGTCGTCCCAGTCATCCCTAGTCATCCCAAGTAATCCCTAATCATCCCAGTCATCAATAGTCATCCCTAGACATCCCAGTCATCCCAAGTAATCCCAAGTCATCCCTAGTCATCCCAGTCATCCCTAGTCATCCCTAGTCATCCCAAGTAATCCCTAGTCATCCCAGTGATCCCAAGTCATCTTTAGTCATCCCAGTCATCCCTAGTCATCCTAAGCCATCGCTAGTCATCCCTAGTCATCCTAGTCATCCGAACTCATCTTTAGTCATACCACTCATCCCTAGTCAGCCCTCGTCATCCCTAGTAATCCCGGTCATCCCTAGATATCAATAGTCATCCCTAGTCATCCCTAGTCATGCCTAGTCATCCCAGTCACCCCAAGTCACCCCAACTCATCCCAGTCATCCCTAGTCATCGCTAGTCATCTCTAGTCGTCCCAGTCATCCCTACTCATCCCATGTAATCCCTAGTCATCTCAGTCATCCCAAGTCATCTTTAGTCATCCCAGTCATCCCTAGTCATCCCAAGTCATCGGAACTCATCTTTAGTCATCCCAGTCATCACTAGTCATCCCTAGTCATAAATAGTCATCCCTAGTTATCCCTAGTCATCCTAGTCATCCCAACTCATCCCAAGTCAATCCAGTCATCCCTAGTCAACCCAGTCATCCTTAGTCATCCCTAGTCGTCCCAGTCATCCCTAGTCATCCTAAGTCATCCCTAGTCATCGCAGTCATCCCAAGTCATCTTTAGTCATCTCAGTCATCCCTAGTCATCCTAAGTCATCCCTAGTCATCCCTAGTCATCCCAGTCATCCCTAGTCATCAATAGTGATCCCTAGTCATCCCTAGTGATTCAAGTCATCCCAAGTTATCCCAAGTAATCCCAGTCATCCCTAGTCATCCCTAGTCATCCCAGTCATCCGTAGTCATCCCTAGTCGTCCCAATTATCCCTAGTCATCCCTAGTCATCCCTAGCAATCCCAGCCATCCCTAGTCATCCCTAGTCATCCATAGTCATCCCTAGACATCCCTACTCATCCCGGTCATCCCTAGTCATCCATAGTCATCAATAGTCGTCCCAGTCATCCGAACTCATCTTTAGTAATCCAAATCATCCCTAGTCATCCCTAGTCATCCCAGTGATCCCTAGTCATCAATAGTCATCCCTAGTCACCCCTAGTCATCCCAGTCAACCCGAGTCATCCCTAGTCGTCCCAATCATCCCTAGTCATCCCAAGTAATCCATGGTCATCTCAGTCATACCAAGTCATCTTTGGTCATCCCAGTCATCCCTAGTCATCCTAAGTCATCCCTAGACATCCCTAGTCATCTTTAGTCATCCCAGTCATCCCTAGTCATCCCAGTCATCCCTAGTCATCCCTAGTCATCAATAGTCATCCCTAGTCATCCCAGTCATCCCAACTCATCCCAAGTCATCCAAGTCATCCCTAGTCGTCCCAGTCATCCCTAGTCATCCCAAGTCATCAATAGTCATCCCAGTCATCCCAAGTCATCTTTAGTCATCTCAGTCATCCCCAGTCATCCCAGTCATCCGAAGTCATCTTTAGTCATCCCAGTCATCCCTAGTCATCCCAGTCATCTCTAGTCATCCTTAATCATCCCAGTCATTCCAACTCATCCCAAGTCATCCCAGTCATCCCTAGTCATCCCTAGTCATCCCAGTCATCCCTAGTCATCCCAGTCATCCCTAGTCATCCCTAGTCATCCCAGTCAACCCTAGTCATCCCTAGTCATCCCTAGACATCCCTAGTCATCCCTAGTTATCCCAGTCATCTCTAGTCATCCCTAGTCATGCCCGTCATCCCTAGTCATCCCAATCATCACAAGTCATCCCAGTCATCACTAGTCATCCCTAGCCATCCCAGTCATCGATAGTCATCCCAAGTAATCCCTGTCACCCCTAATCATCCCTAGTCATCCCCAGTCATCCCAGTCATCCCTAGTCATCCCCAGTCATCCCAACTCATCCCAGTCATCCCTAGTCATCCCTAGTTATCCAAGGCATCCCTAGTCATCCCTAGTTATCTCTAATCGTCCCTAGTCATCCCAAGTCATCACAAACATCCCTAGTCATCCCAAGTTATTCCACTCATCGCTAGTCATCCCTAGTCATCCCAGTCATCCCTAGTCATTCATAGTTATCCCTAGTCATCCCAGTCATCCTTAGTCATACCTAGTCATCCCTAGTCATCCCAGTCATCCCTAGTAATCCCTAGTCATCCCTAGTCATCCCAGTCATCCCTAATCATCCCTAGTCATCCCAAGTCATCCCTAGTCATCCCAGTCATCCCAAGTCATCCCAGTCATCCCTAGTCATCCCTAGTCATCCCAGTCATCAATAGTCATCCCTAGACATCCCAGTCATCCCAAGTCATCCCAAGTCATCCCTAGTCATAACAATCATTCCTAGTCATCCCTACTCATCCCAAGTAATCCCTAGTCAGCCCAGTCATCCCTAGTCATCAATAGTCATCCCAGTCATCCCTAGTCATCCTAAGTCATCCCTAGTCATCCCTAGTCATCCCAGTCATCCGAAGTCATCTTTAGTCATCCAAGTCATCACTAGTCATCCCTAGTCATCAATAAGCATCCCTAGTTATCCCTAGTCATCCCAGTCATCCAAACTCATCCCAAGTCATCCCAGTCATCCCTAGTCATCACAGTCATCCCTAGTCGTCCCAGTCATCCCTAGTCATCCCAAATCATCCCTAGTCATCCCAGTCATCCCAAGTCATCTTTAGTCATTTCAGTCATCCCTAGTCATCCTAAGTCATCCCTAGTCATCCCTAGTCATCCCTAGTCATCCCAGTCATCCCTAGTCATCCCTAGTCATCCCAGTCATCAATAGTCATCCCTAGTCATCCCTAGTCATCCCAGTCATCTCTAGTCAGCAATAGTCATCCCTGGTCATCCCTAGTCATCCGAGTCATCCCAGGTCATCCCAAGTCATCCCAGTCATCCCTTGTCATCCCTTGTCCTCCCTAGTCATCCCTAGTCATCCCAGTCATCCCTAGTCATCCCTAGTCATCCCAGTTATCCTGAGTCATCCCTATTCATCCCTAGTCATCCTTAGCCATCCCAGTGATCCAAAGTCATCATTAGTAATCCCAGGCATCCCTAGTCATCTTTAGTCATTCCAGTCATCCCTAGTTATCCCTAGTCATCCCAGTCTTCCCTAGTCACCCCAAGTCATCCCTAGTCATCCCTAGTCATCCTTAGTGATCGCTAAGTCATCCCTAATCATCCCTAGTCATCATAGTCATCCCTGGTCATCCCTGGTCATCGCAGTCATCCCTAGTAACTAAGTCATCCCTAATCATCCGTAGTCGTCCCTAGTCATCCTTAGCTACTGATCCCAGTCATTTCTATTTATCCCTAGTCATCCTAGTCATACTAAGTTATGCCAGTCACCCCAGTCACCCTGGTCATTCTTAGTCGTCCATGTCATGTTTGTCATGCTAGTGACTCTGGTTAACTCAATCATCCAAGTGCAGTCATTCCAGTGATATCAGTTATTCTAGTCGCTATCGTAACCCTCCTTCTCTTAATTATCTATATCATCAGTCCGCGCTTGTATGGAAGCCTTTTCTTAGATTAAAAGATTTTAAAGAAAAAACAAAGTTAAATGAACTGATCATTCTAAAGTTTTGCTTTTAAATTATTATTATTTACTTTTTTTCCCCTAATTATTACCGTTTTGATTTTTGTTATTACGAAGTGTTATTTTTGTATCTTCGACGTTTACAGGTACGTACGTACGTACCTTGCCTATGGGTAGCTTCGGCTCTGAGTGTGAGCTCTCTTACAACCAGCACCGTCAAAATTTCCCGTAATTGGAACTTTTTGTTTCTTATTCACGAAACAAATTGAACGTTCGCTAACTAAAAAATCAACTCGCATGTGATACAAGATGGTGTAGATTTTCTCAAGAAATCGAGACAGTGAAAAATAGTTTAAACGGTAGACATACTTGTTCTTCGGAGATTTTTTGGATTTAACTTACCATGGAACTTCCTCAAGTAAGATCTTATGAACAAGAAGATCTGTTTCCGTTTCTTTAAATTCGAATTTGTTCTCCGCCAACCTAAGATGAGAATGCAAATGATCTGAATCTGATCTGAATATTGCACCCGAAAAACCCAACTTATTCGCTGACACCGGTCATTAACTTAACATTTCCAGAACCTGTACATTGTCTGGGTAACTTTAAAATGGAAATAATACTGTTTTGCAATGTATGAATTTTAGTCTCTTTATATACTGGTAGTTTACTTAACTATTTGTGTGTGTTTCTCTGTTTTCTTTGTTCTTGTGTCCCTGACCTAAACATTTAAACATCTTTTCTTTTAACTGGCTGCCTGGCATTTTTAACTCTTAGGTTATCTCGGGCAGCCAGCGCCCCTATCATTGTCTGTACTATTGTTATAAATTTTTATTTTATGCATATTATGGGGTGAAATAAAGTGTTGTTGTTGTTGTAGAACCCTAACCATTGTCTTAAAACCATGGAAATTTTTAAGCTCTTTCAATTATTCTCGAGTGATTTTTACCGTGCTCAAGGATGCCCCTATGTTATTTTAATTACAGTCGAGCCTCCCCCAACGGCCGGCTCTCTACAACGGCCACTTTTTTGGTGGACAGTCCTTACATTGACTCTTGTTTAATTTCCTCTACAACGGTCACTTTCTTCTGTCCCCAAGGTGGCCGTTACGGAGAGGTTGAACTGTTCAGTAAACATGTTGCCTTTACTTTTTAAAATATTATTATTATTATTAATTATTAATTATTATTAAATACTATTATTATTAATTATTTCTATTAATCAATCAATTAATTATTAATATTATTAATTAATGAATAATATTAATAAGTAATTAATAAGTAATTATTATTAAATATTATTATTAATATTATTATCATTTTCTAATATACGTACCATTTTGCACAGTCAAGAAAGTCGTTGGCTACAGACAAATGAAGCAAGCTGGGCGGCGTTCTCTGTAATATACAGAGAGGACATCGATTAGCATTCGAATCTAAAATACTTGTGCAGCCTGGTTTGCAGAGGGTTTCGTTTTTGTTTTTGATAGACTCAGGGAGCAAAAATGACATTGAAGATTGGTAAGCTAAGCGCTTTGTGATTGGTTGAGATGTCCTGTGCCACTTTTTCAACCAATCAGAGGGGTGAAACCTTTCTCACGCGGGGGGTGTGCATTCCTTTAAACTATTTATTAGTCTCTCAGATTGGGTAACGTGATACGCACACGATGTGTTTGGCGCGGTTGACATTGCAATGCGCAAAAAAAAAAACGCTAGGTAATTGTCGTTTTTAAGTACCTCACTCTCCATTTCCAAATTTCGTTTTATGCTCTCTTCAGTGTCAAAGAACAGCAAGGCTTGAATGGCGTCCATCCGACCTTGCATGGCACAACAGTGAATCGGCATTAAATCCTAAAAAAATAGCGTCAATATTATTGTTGGAAAGTATAACAAAGATCACGGAGCCCCAACAATGGTTTACACCATCGTACTTTTAGATCAACGCGATTGTAATACTTCAGTAAAAGCGACACAACGAAAACGACAGAAGCTAGTAACAGAAGGCGGAGTGAAAAACTCATAAAGCCCGGAGACTGACTTTGCCTCGCTATGACAGGGCCGTTTCGAGACGTAAGCAACTTTGAGGCACAGATAGTGGACGCGATATTAGAGACTTAACGATAAACCGTTTCCAGCGTGCCACAAAAACCTTGTCCCCGGGGTCTCTCTCCCTCCCTTCCATGAAGCAAGAGAGAGAATTAAGAAGAAAGGAGACTAAAAACGAGCAAACTCAAAGTTGTTCCCTTGGAAATAAGGATCGGGGGGAGGGGGGATTGCTATGGGAACTTCTACATCACCCAACGTTGTAGCAGTAGTTACGAGAGGACATGAAACGACTTCGCAAGTCCCTACCGGCTAGAGTAACCATATAGATAAAAACCATATCCCGGTTGATATCAAGGCGTAGGAAACATGTCCCCTATCCGTGCTCGTAGGCAAGGACGTTTAGGTTTCGTATTTTATACTTACTCGGTTGTTTCTGATGTTTAGTGGCGCTTCTTTCATCAACTGTTGAAGATACAAATTAAAAAACGTAGTCAACTTGAAGGGAACTCGTAGCCTGTGAAGCAGGTGTTTGAATATGAGGGAATATGGGATCAGACGTTTTGAACCTTTCATGTGTTATGTGATTTGCTGTGTGTGGAGGTTTGTATAGTGCTGTGGTTAACTAATGATGTTACCATTTTCTCAATGCATTCTAAGTCTGTAGGTTCTCCGCTCTCGCCATAACATTTTACATGCAGTGGTGTGTTGCCATCGTGGTCTTCACTGTCAATATCTGATCCAGCCTCAAGGAGTAGCTACAAAAGAAAACGATATAAACATTAGCACTGAGTTAGATGAAGGTATCATGGTGATTTGGAGAGGTCTAATCGCGGCTTTCTTAATAAAGCCACAATTTATTAGTACATAACACTAAGTTATGCACACTGAAGATTGTTTTTAGCTTTCATCAACTTCAAGTAAAAGTATTTTAAGGATGGGCGGAAAAGTGTTGGAAAAAGAAAACACACAACTACAACAATAACAAAAAAAGAATAATCGGACGTAAACAGAAGCGCCAGGTTACCTCGACAGTTGCGGCATCTTTGGCTCTGTGAAGGGGCGTGGCTCCTTTGTAATCTAAAATATTCACGTCTACACCCTCGGAGAGCAGGGTCTGGGACAAAACACAGCAACAGTCAACATGACCATTGATTATCGTTAATAACTAGAAATAATGATAGAAAAAATGGCAAATTCCACTGTTAAGAGGAAATGTGAACAAGTTAAACTTGGAACTACCAAGAGATAGCTCCACCCGTCATAGCGATCAAAGAGTCCATACCGGAACCTTCGGAGGTCGATTTCGGTGCCGTAATTACACGCGGCAAATGCATGTTTGAATGTCTTTCACAAAAGATGAGAAGAGATTAGCTGACACAGGCAACTTATAAATGCATTTTCGTTAAACGTTATAATGGGAACATGACGAAAAGTCTGAAAATTGTACCTTGATAACTGGTATAGCTCCGAAGAAAGAAGCGGTATGCAGCAGTGTGCTACCGCTTACACATCTGAAAAAAAAAATCGAATAAAATGAAAAGAAGTTTCCAGTAGTTTTAAAACAGCAATCAAACTGAAACGTTATGTTAAAACGGTCTCCTAGTGAATGATACTGGGCAAAATAATTTCGGTGAGTGCTTTTTTATAATTTAACAACTGCTCTAATTAGCCTCTTACGCAAATGTTCTTAGGGGCTTCGTCACGCGTCTAGTCGTGACGAAGCCCAAGGAACCTCTGCGTGGGAGGCTTTTACATTTCGCGGTCTGAAACAGAAAACAAGCAAGCCAAGCTAGAAAGTCTCTTGAAAAGCTACTACAAAGTTCCCTGAAGAGCCACTAGCAACAAGAGGGATTCAGTTGCTAAAAATTTTACAAGAAAAAAATCGATTTACCTGCTTCTTAAACTGGCCAACATGTTCTCTCTCCTGTGATGAGCGTCTACTACTTCAGTCAGCTTCTTGATATCACCTGATATCAGCTGAGGAACAAGCTGATGCCATTCTTTATACTTACCTGCAAAGTAATCAGTACAAAAAAACCACCAACAGCTAAGGCATAGGCCAAACGTCGAAATTTTCATGAAACGAACCAAACCCTAATTTGGTCGACCTAAATTAAGACAGACGACGACCTTAGGACGCGTCGAACTAATTAACAGAATCAGATCAGTGATAAATTTTCTCCCAAACGAGGCTTTAAATACATTATCATACAAATTGTTAATTTATTAGTCCAGTTCGTCGCGTGAGAAGATCTTCGATCGTCAGAGACGATCTTCAGACGTTCTATCCGTCCGAAGCAGACGATGAGAACATGTTGGACGATCCAAACTCATACAGATGAACTTTACTGAGCCAGACGTCGACATTTGCATGACCTTAACTCAACAAGTTTAGTTCTTCTCGTGAAATGTTCGACGTTTGGCCTTGGTCATAGTTCTTCTCATGTCGTCTTGAAATCTACTTGCCGCTCGTGACTTCGACCTACGGCCAAAGATGTGTCGGACCTCGGCCAACACCGAAAATTCCCGCCGCACGCGAGAAAACCTCGGGTACCCAGGGTACTTGAAATCAAGTGACGGAACAAAAGCGAATTTGATTTAAGGTTACTAACAAAACACTTTTGTAACCCTTTTTACAGCAGTTGAACCGTGGTTGCAGTTTACAGCCACAGTAGGCAAGCCAAACCCAAACATTCGAGCTAGGTAACACGACTCTAAAGCAGATATTGTTCTCCTTATTCAATCATTTCAACTGCGTTCCGAATGCTTAATAGCATGCGCAAAAGGCAAGTTTTCAGCTAGATCATAGCATAGCATACGAGCAGGCTTCTAGCTTAGTTTTCTTGCATGTGTAGAAAGAACGGCCATGAGACAGTAGTTTTAATCCTTTCAAGTCTTAAGAGTGATCAGTGAATCACCATATATTTTCCCCTAACAATATCAATACATGGTCAGGAGAAATAGTTAAGAGAATTTATAAAATGATCACCTAAAGGGAAAATGCTTTGATCTTTTACCTATTCTCTCAATTAATTCTATAAAGAAATGTACGGAGATCAGTTTGGAGAATTTGGATGTGGATATTGGGGCTTAAAGGGTTAAAAGTCTCGAGTATAAAGACTATTAATTTCTATGCGCCTTGCTGTTAAGGAATTTACCCGCTGAATAGTTTGTATAAGCAAGCATAACTAAAGGCATACTTCTTGTCTACAATTGAAAACAAACTATAGCACAGAAAGTTTACAAATAAGCACCACTATGCTGAATGCATGCAAGGAAATAACTAAAAATCCTGACAATTTTGGCAAAATATTTTCCTATTTTGGCTACCTACGCGAGAATGAGGGGGAAAAAGGGGGGGGGGAGGGGTGGTGGCTTTATGGTTTCAGTTGCAGGCATCATTAGGACAATGACTAGGCTAATAACCCCTCCCTCTTCCATAAACAGAAATACGTTTACGCTATACCTTCCAAAAACGTCTTGAGTTCATAGTGGCGCATGAGATCGAAGGCTGTCTTACTACTCTTGTTACGTTTCATCACGTCAGCTCCCCATTCGATCAGAAGCTAAAAACAGGAAAAGAGAGTCAGAATGATTCGTAAGTAATTTGGTAAAAGAGTAAGACAGACAGCAAGACGGTCACTCAGCTTATTCAGTTAGTCATGCTTAGTCAGCCAGTTAGTTAATTTGTCAGTCATGCAGCCAGTCATTCAGTTAGCAAGTTAACTGATCAGTTTAGAGATTTTTATTCAGTGCACATCGGATGCGTTTTTGTCCGATACAGCTCAACCAACTAGCATACTAACGAATTCTGATGGGCTTACGTACTCATTATTCATTGCGCGAGAGATCGTGTGTATCGAGCCAGCGCTCTGAACAAAAACAATAGTAACTTCTTTAGACTAACCTAACAATTCGTTTTTGCGATTTCATCTAGAGAAAAATAAACATTTTAAATGGTACGAATTTCATCCTTGCAAGTTTATTTGTTATTTTCGCGAATTAAAGTTGAACAAAAAAGGCTTGATTCTATAGAGTGTTTTCACATGACGTCACGGCGGCCATATTGGTGTCCCAAAACAATGAAACGGCGGCCATGTTGGTCTCCCAAACCAGTCCTGTGGGAGTTGAACTCCTTTCTTATGCAAACGCTTTCTTTTGTTCCAATAAATTTGCATAGATGCTGACCACGTGAGTGAAAACACTCTATATCTTTTCGCCAAAACTCCGTGTTGAATCAAAGCAAGATGCCAGTTTTGTTGGCTATTGACTCAGAGGAAGCTTAATCTAGTCTTATATTTGTCGATCATTCTTAGCTACCTGACATATCTCCTTTTGTAGACTTTCGGTGGCCAGGAAAAAAGGCGTGTTGTTGTGATTATTAAACATATCGATATCAGCTCCGTTTTCCAGGAGGTATAACACAATATCCTGAAAAATCAATCGTTACTTGGGATTTCATGAAAAGAATAATTTCCTAACTTGAAAACATGATAAATATTGAAAAGGCCCAAAATTATTTTGGGATATGCAAAACCGTCCTCAGAAAGGAACACAATCGCATATCGGCTAAACTTCATGAAAGTTTTCATTTTTGATATTGAATAATATACACAAAAGCACTTGTCAAATGACTTTGATTTTGACACGGGCTAACCCTGAGAAAAATGGGAGACTACTTGTAGTCTAGTTTAGCCTTTGACTCAATTAAAGGGAACCTCCACTTCAACAAAAAGATAACTTTAAATCACACGAAATAACTGTTACAGTCAAGTCAATCTAAAATATTTTTAAAGAAAGCGTTTGTATCCGAAAGACATAACTTTTAGATTCACCTATTTTTGTTTTCAAATTTTGCGGGCGTCGCCATCTTGAATAATTGTGACGTGTAATGGTTGCCCTATTGTTATTAAACAAAAGCTCTTTGTGTCAGAACAATAGAGCAACCGTAACACGTCACAATTATTCAAGATGGCGGCGCCCGCGAAATTTGAAAGTGAAAATAAGCGATTTTAAAATTCACTTTTCCTTATATAAACACTTTTTTTAAGACAAATTTCGAACAAATTTGTTTATCAACATAATTTTATTCGATTTAAACTTATTCTGTAGTAAGAGTGGAGGTTCCCTTTAAATGGATAAAGTTTGAATGCATTTCTAAGAATCGCAAAAAGAATTTCCCAGCCGGCAAACTAGTCTCGACCAGCAAAATACAATATAAAAGAAAGCCCTCTCGGAAAATGAAACTTACGAACAAGTGGCACACGGGCGACGTAAACATGTGTAGTTTTCCTTTTTGGGCACCGTTTCTTTCTTTTTCATTTTCTTTTTTCCGGTCAAAGTTAAGGAATATCTCGATATAATTGCTCCAATACTCACAAAGTGTCCATGTCGACAGGCCATATGAAGTGCAGTGTTTCCTGATCCATGTTCCTTGGACTTAATAAAATTTTTGTCCGCATTGAAGAACGCCACCTATAGCAAATAGGGACAAGAAATCTTAGAGGCTTTGTCGTGTCAATTTGAAACCTCATTATATGCACATCAATTAGTAAGGGGAACCCCCTAAGCAGTTTGGATCTAAAAGAATGCAGCACAACATGAAATAATATACAATATACAATTCGACCAAACAATCTAAAATATATGTTTTACGCCAAAAAATCTGTAAAAGCCACAAGTTTGTTTAGTATAACCCATTCAGAGCTTTGTAGATAAACATCCCAGTACCCAACTAAAGGATCCCAAGATTATTGAGATTTCTCGGTGCTATAAACCAGTCAACAAAAAAAACAATCCTTCCCTTTTTAAATTTTTCGTTCGAATAAAATGGAAGATCAAACAACGGAAATTTCGGGAACGCTTACTCGAAATCTATATATACTTTTGCTGCATAAAACTGAGATAAAAACATGCCATCATAGCTATGAGGCCACGTAGGTGTAATATTCCTCTTCTTACCAAGTAGGAAAGTCTATACAAATGTAACCACAAGATTTAATTACAAGAAAGCGCATAGAGACGTGGAATTAGTACGTCTTGATCAGAGCTGTGTAATCATATATGGGTCAACGTGTAGTGGCCAACGCAAAACGTGAAATAAATAATTGAGTCTTTCACTTCATTCCAGTATGTTGACGGTAGCAGATTGAGGCGAGAAAGGCGCTCGTGATAAGAAATATCCTCTTGCCAGTGCGTTATTAAGATGAATTTTGTTGCCCTGCTTTGAAGACTCTCTATTTTTGTTATACTACATATCGCACTGGGAGCCCGCCATACCTCGCTAGCATAGCCAATATATGATCTTACAAACGTGACATATCGTAATTTTCGGACATAACACTATTGCGGCGCAAAAATGTGGAGAGCGTCCAACGTGTAGTCACCCCAAGGTCGTTTACTTGAGTGTCGTGTTAAAGTGAGTTGTTTTGTAACTTGTAATCGTAGCGAAACGGGTGGCGCTTACGTGTGATGGTTAGTAGCTCACATTTAGAGGTGCTAAACTTTAGGTGATAATTATCGGTACCCAGGTACGCCCCGGTTCCAGAGGTTTTTTCTTTCTCATTTAATTTTTCGTCGCAGGTATTTCGAGAATAGCCTGTAAACAGACGTTTTTTTATTTTTCTTTCCGTTATTTTCAAAAACATCGGCGAGCGAAGCGAGCGCGCGGGAACGAGCGCGGAGCGCGAGAAAAAAAATCTATTTTCTTCTATTTATTGGAGAGCGTTCTTGTATTCCATAATCCCCCTGCAATTTTTAGCGGGTTATATTTTATCACCCGCGCTTGATGGACCTTGAAGAGTTCGAGAACAGACCTAAGGGCCTGCTTGAGCCAGTGTGCCACGCGGCAGATTGTTGAAACAGGGGCACCCAACGACAATTTTCGGAAAAATATCTGTTCGGAAGACGACTTGAGATCTAGAATTTTCGGAACATTTGCTGTAAAATTTCTTGCTTGCCTGCCTCTCCTAGGATTTTTGGACATCTAAAAAATGGTATAATTGCCTATTTTCAACGGATTTTTACCCTGAAAAGGTCACCTAGAATTGTCGGGAGCCTTTTTTCTGGCTAAAATTTTCGAAAAGGTAAGTTTTGATCCCTATAATTTTCGGATCACTTGACTTTCAGCTAGGAAATCCGAAGAGATGAAAAATTTTTAGGGGATAAAAATATGCCTATATCTACCGTTTAAATACTAAAATACGTTTAACGATGCTATGTTTAAGTGTTTTTGAACTATATTCTCGTTGGGTGTCCCTGCATGTTGAAACCGCAAAACCTAACTTTTGAATATCTTACTGCTTTCCTTGTAACGTGTAGAACTAAAAAAATCTCAACCGATTTCTTTAATTTCGCTCCCAGAAAAGAGTCGGAATAATACACAGTGAATTAATTTAATTGCTTTAGTTATTATCACTGAAAGCCGGTTTAATGAAGAGTAATTTTATTCAATGTTATTTCCCATGCATCTGGTAATTAATTCTGGTCGAATGGAAACTAGACTTTGGGAAGTCGTCAAAAGTACTTAACAGTAGTTAGTATAATATCAGTCATGAGTGGCTGAATTGGAGTGGAGCGTGCAGTGGATACTATTGGAAAATTCATTACCTGACGAGGGAATTCCACGTTAAATTGCACGCGAAAACCGATATCGCACGAATCGCGAAGCGATGAGTGCGATATCGGTTTTCAAGTGCAATTTAACGTGGAATTCTCGAGTCAGGTAATGAATTTTCCTTGAATCGCATAACTGAATAAAAACCAGAAGAAAAAAAAAGAAAACAGCAATAATATTGTTTGTTTTTATCCTGAGCGCGCGCTCCAGAAAGCCATTTCAAAGTCAACTGTCAGAACTGTCATTGCGTTAGCGAATAGGAAGCAAGGTCAGTCGTACACGTTTGAACCTTCGACAACTTTTTTTGTACCTTGTGCTTGTTTTCACATTTGTTTTCAAACTTTTTTACATGTAAACAAGCTTCACACTAATCTTAAGGATAAATAGAGGTATTTTACTGAATTTAGAAGCCGTTTATGTAGAACGTCTTTTTTCAAATTGGTCATTTGCTCGAGAAGGAAAATAATTTACACCTTTTACCTCTTCGGCGGCAAAACTGAAAGAAATCAAGTGTCCAAGCGAAAACACTGAAAGTTTAACATGTTTAACGTCGCGATTGACATAAGGTAAGTACCTTGAAATGTTTTAGAAATGCTGTTCAAGTTCAGCTCTGTTTTGTACTTTTCTAAGTACCACGATTCAGGACGATTGCAAGCGGCGTACTCTTTTTCGTGTTTTCAGGGGCCATGTCCTCTTTGAAGGTATTTATTTCTTCTTCTGTATATGGGACAATCGACCCCGGCACTTCCTCCGTTGTCGCTTCTCCGTTTTGTTTGGTTGAACTTTGGATTGCCATTTTCTGGGCCGTGTTCACAGGATTTTCTTGTTTTCTGGTTGTCGCGAGTGAAAGAGGTTTTATGTCTCTTCGAGAATCTGTAGTTCAGTTCAAAACAAGGAAGAACCTCCGGCTCACTTTAAAAAACGCTTTTGTTTGTTTTTAACTCTTCAAAAAGTGACAATGAATGGTTTTGAAAACATTTTAAAATGACATTGTAGAAAACCTTTTTTGCATGTTGTTGTGTTAGAATTTGACGATAGTTGTTACGTAGATGCGAAACAATATCGCTTAGCCTCGTTTTCAACTCGCAATTCCACACTAAATACCTCGCTTCTTTAACCAATCAGAATGCGAGATTTTACTTACTCATGCGATTCTAACATAAAACGCATGTGTTGTGTTAGGGTCATCACTCTTCAATTTCGACCTCAGTGAACAGAAAGTTCAGAAAGAGGAAGCAGTGCTTATTCTGTCGATCGAAATGGATCCAAACCTGCTTTTACTGATAATGATGATCATTGTTCTATATTTTTTCACGAAGATTTGTTTGGCCGTAATAACAGCCGGTCAGCAAAGAGTTTTTGCTGTACAGATCCCTGCGCTGATCAACTTTAGGAACCAGGGCGCGATACAAAGGCTAGAGGACATAACAAGACAAGTAGAGGACCAAACCATTAACAGGAGAGCTGAGAATCGAGTACGTCCTCAACCTCAGGAAAATAACGAATGAAATGGTTAAGTAAGTATTTCGATGGTTGTTGGAATTTTTTAATGTGCTTCTCCAGTTTTAATAAGTTTGGAATGTCGTATTTCTTATTGTGTTATTTTTTTTTTAGTGAAGGTGTCATTGTGTTCATCGAAGTAACTGCTTCTTGAAAATTTTAATTGTCTTCCTTTTCGTTTTTAAAGATTTTTACCGTAAACCTTAGTGAAGAGTTTTCCTGTTAACAACTGGCTAATAGGAATCTCCCTTAATACATAGACTATATACTGCACTTTATTTGAGAACTGTGTTCCAGTCAAGATTACTATTTAGCCCTTGTAGAAGGCAAAATGGGCTCAGTGACAATGCAGTAACGTTTGCTTTTTTTTAGCTTATAAACATTATGTTTCTGAACAGCGAAACGTTGCCTACTCATTTCCGGGTAAAATCCAAACCGACGAAAACGCTACCCATTAACAAGCCGTCACATTTCCTCCTTGTATTTGCCTTAAAATGATATGCAATTGCTTGATTGTCGCTGCTCTTAAAAAAGTTTTAATTTTCTTCCCTTTTCAGGACATCCTCCGAAGACTGGTTCAGTTGCAAACTTTTTGTCTTTTGACTTCTTTGTCCGAAAATCAGTTTATGATATTTTGTGGATAATTATTCCGAAAAAAAAAAAGAAAAGGAACTAGCCATATTGGATAATGCAATTACCCTACTTTTGACGCTACAATTTATGGACATCTACTTCTGCATGACTACCTTGCTGAGAAGAACACACAAAAACAAGACAGCTTTTTAAAGTACGTTCCAACGAGTGTGAATTATATATTAATTAATAGTTTGTAGACCACAGAGAACTCGTGTGAAAAACTGAAATAAAATGTTTTAAAATTGTATTTGATTATGACTGCTGAGAGGTGATAAACTCTACAAATCCTTCAATTGATTGTCTAACTTTATCGATTAATAAGTCTTCACACCGGCTACGAAATTTGCATACAAGTGTCGATTCTTATAATTTATAAACACTGCCCAAGGATGCAAAACGTCCACTTCCGGATGAGTTAAGTTTCAACATAACGTCGACTAGTGTGGCTACCGGGTTATTTTTAGCCTGTGTACAGACGTTCCCCTCCCCTCAGAAAAAAATCGGGAAGAAAGATGGCGAGGGCACAATCCCGGTTTTCATGCACGTGACACGAGGAATTGTGTATTTAAGTACCCGTCTTCTCTAGCCTCCCCGCAGACGTCCTTTGGGGTTCGTTTGTCACGCATTCATTTCTCTCCAGAAATGAATACGTGACGAACGAACCCCAAAGGACGTCTGCGGGGAGGCTACCGTTTTCTCTGGCGAGCACAGTTTCAAATTTTCGGCTCACTGAAAAGTGCTTTATACTCCGCGTCACTGGTAATATCCGAGGAATCCTGAGTAGATTTCGGGAAAGGTTAAATCACTGACGGGACTCTCATCAGGAGGAAAACAATTTTGCACGTATTTTTTAGATAAAAATCCTTTCTGATTTTTATTGCTAGTGCGAACTGTCACAATCAGTGAACGAAACGGAAGAAACGAACTCGCCATGACGACCGGGATAATAAGCCTTGTATTAATTGTCTTGATGGCCATTGTGATGTACTTTGTGATGAAAATATATTCAATTCTGAGAGCCCATGAGTGCAGTTTTCACCCAGTTCACGATACTGAGATGGACGTCGCTACAAAACGGACAGAGTTGCACGGTGGAGTAGCAGCAAGACAGAGGCGAACCCTAATTTGGATGGCCGAGAAGTACGAGAACACCTCACGCGTTCCACAGGAACACGACGAAAGAAACAAAGAAGTAAGTGAGTTAAAGTCTGTTAAGAAAAAACTTTGAATTGTGTTAAGTTCAAGCCAACGAAACTTTCACGGCCTGGACGGCCTGGCCTGTGATGAAAAAAAAAAAATTCACGATATTGAGATGGACGCCGCTACAAAAAAGACGGAGTTGCCCGGTGGAGTAGCACCAAGACAGAGGCAAACCATCAGTTTTGATGGCCGAGAAGTACGAGAACACCTCGCGCGTTCAACAGGAACACGACGAAAGAAACAAAGAAGTAAGTGAGTTTAAGTCTGTTAAGAAAACGCTTTGAATTGTGAAACTTTCACGGCCAGGACAAGACTTAACCGTAACCCGTCTAAAACGTTGCTTTCCTGTGGCCTTTAAATTTTACAGAAGTTTTTGTTACTAGTTTCTGTTTTCAGGGAGTCTTTTTAAAGAGTTTACAGCGCTCAAATGAGATGAAATCAAACCACTTGGAGGCTTAAATTGACCAAAAAAAATGTTAATCCATGACTACTTCAGTAGTGCAACGGTTTGACACTTGTACGATGTCAGCTGATACATGTCAGCTGAGTTTTTTCTTTCCGTATTACAACAAGAAATGAAAAGAAGATAAAACGAAAACGAAAAACAAGGAAACGGAGCTACCAAGGCCACCCAATTGGAGCTCGGATTTTTTTTAAGCTTTCTTCTGGTGTCAAAAATCTCCTTCATCCTAATTAAGACAACAAGTGATGGGTAAAGAGAATGCAATTAATCGGATTAACGTATATGTTGTAGTTAACTTTTTATCCTAGGCAATTTTTGTTTTTCTTTCGTTTTTGGCTATGGAAATGTATGCAAATGAAGTTGAAACAAAAGAAAAATAAAAATTACCTGAGATAAAAAATTAACTACAAAATATACATCAAAACATCGGCACTTCCATTAAGCTTTTTTTTTTCAGTAAAAATAAATGGTGTTTCAATGGTGCTAATTAAATTAAGCGCCAGGAGGGCAAGCATAGTATTAGCGGCGAATGTCGTAAATATGCTAAGTTTTGAACGATGACCGAGTACTCCTGTTTTAAAACCTTATGCACGCAGTTCAATCCATTCTATATTCGTGACGTTGCTCTTGGTCCAAGTAATCTCAGTAATGTTTTGCGGTAAGGAATAAATATATATGGCTAAGATCCGTAGTGAAAACTGAAGTGACAAACACGCTGCTGTTCTAAAAATAGACTAATGTTTCAACAATGCTCTAGAGCCCGCCCTGACAAGTGTCGGGAGGTGTCTCATAACACATGAGACATTGTGGTATTTTGGTCACTGGCAGGAACGTGCTTAGCGCTCGTCAATGGTACAGATTTTTGAGGAACCGTTAGCTTTTTCGTACTTTTTCGATGAAAATTCTTTCAGATTTCTATCGCTGACGAAACATAAAAGGTGCAGCACTGATTCCCGGAATACAAATCTGAATATTCAAAAGTGACTTGAAGCCATCACTTTGCCGACAGTGAACGTAAAGACGTGTACAGCTACGAATCTGACGAATGTTACGATTGTAATCATGACGACCGAAATAATCAGCCTTGTATTACTTGTCTTGATGGTCATTGTGATGTACTTTGTGATGAAAATATATTCAATTCTGAGAGCCCATGAGTGCAGTTTTCACCCAGTTCACGATACTGAGATGGACGCCGCTACAAAACGGACAGAGTTGCACGGTGGAGTAGCAGCAAGACAGAGGCGAACCTTAATTTGGATGGCCGAGAAGTACGAGAACACCTCACGCGTTCCACAGGAACACGACGAAAGAAACAAAGAAGTAAGTGAGTTAAAGTCTGTTAAGAAAAAACTTTGAATTGTGTTAAGTTCAAGCCAACGAAACTTTCACGGCCTGGACAGGACTTAACCTCGACCCATCTAAATAAGTGTTGCTTTTCTGTGGCCTTTAAATTTTAGGCGGTCTGACGGTAGAATGTCCAAGTTTTCCGCAGTTTTTTTAACCTGAGATCAGGCTCTATTTTCGTTTTGCTTTGAAAATTACATTCCGTTAGAGAGAATGTAAGAGAACCGCTAAAATTGGGCCTGATCTCAGGTTACAGTTTTTTAGGTCCAGCTGCATGCTTTTTTGGTTCAGGGAATAACATCCGAACTAGAACTCGGAGGCTCGTGAGTTCGATTCTCACCTGGAGCTCAGAATCTTTTCTGAGCTTTCTGGTGTTAGAAATCTTCTTCTTCCAGAATAAAAACAAAAGATGTTTCCAATTGCCAAAGCCATTCACGTCCTTTTGTTCACTGAAACAAGGCAGCATAATGGAGTTTTGTTCGGCGCCACTTCACACGTCTGGCATCTCTGCACACGCGCTTACTACCCTTAGGGCTATAAAGCGCTTGAAGGAAAAAACAAAAGATTTCAGTTTTACGTTGACTAGAACATCCCAGCACATTTAACTCCATTTGCTTTTTCATTGTTAGGTTATCACGCAGTTGCAAAGTGAACAAGACTAAAAGGAAATCGTCAATCCAGTTTTACCTTCATACTGTATATATAGGCGATACTTTTATAGAGGAGTTTTAAACTCAGAATTTAGATGCATTAGAACTAAATGAAGTTACATTGATGCCGAAAAGCCTTTCATGAAGTATGTGTGTATGTTCTTATATGCGCAGGATTGCGACAAACACAGCTTTGAGAACATATAAACGTTTCAGAGGTGTTTGAACGTTTAAGGGTGTCAATTGAGATCAAATAGGATGAAATATATATCATTTTCCGTATCTTGATTAATTACCTTCCTCTCTATTTTTCCTGCTGCAATTTTCAGTTTTGAACAACTCTGTAATGAATTTTCATTAAATAGCTACAATTGTAGTTTAAAAAACATTACTTTAAATCGTAACCATACTACGAAGCAATTACTCGAAATTACTCAATCCGCCGTACAGTGGTAAGACGGACACTCACTGAAAGGAAAGCTAATGGCATTGAGATGTGGGATTAAAAACAATCTTATGGCGGAAGTTAGGTTTCTAGTACGGTAGGCCTCTGAACTTACGTGCATGTACTTTGTGGGTTGACACAAAGGTCAACCTAGACGAAACATATTTATGGCTGAATAAAGATGATCTTCTTGTGTATCTAGCTTCTTGTGTATTTTCCTAGCTTTATATGCTTAAATGAAATAATCGGCCACTGCACTCTTGTGACCAAATTCATCCCAAAATGGAATTGTAATTATCTGGTATCCCAGCAAACAGAGCTCACCCAAAGCGAGACTCCGCCACCATGATAACCCACCCAATAATTACTATCTAAAGGAACGTGAAGCATGAAGAAGATTTTTTTTCATACGGGAAACAAGCGGGTATGGATCGCTTTACCTTGCCAAACAATGTAACCGATTTATTTTATTTTTTGTTGGAACCGGTTGTTCTCTCTATAATCCTTTCCCAACTTGGCAAAGGATTATAGAGAAAGCTGTAAAGATAACATACCAGTTTAGTAACAAAATCCATAGCCGGGTGCTAAATCGCTCGGGGATTAGTAATTTACACAGGGAAGACAAACACAAAACGTAAATGACGTTATATATATAGCCGATTTTTATTTAAAAATCCTTTCACAATGATAGGTTACAGAAACAATCGCTTTTTTTTGCTCGTATAAAAACTCCTTATGTTTTGAAGGTTAGCCAAAATTGCCGATGGTCATATTTCGAACTTGGGCTATCAGTTTGATCTGCAAAAATGCAAATACAAATATGATGTTTCCATCAAAAGTACTGTATGTTAAGTATGAAGCGACACTTTGGGGCTCATTTGTGTACAGGAAATACTAGTGCCGCATTTTCACATACAGACATACATGCGTACATACATTTAAGAGTAGCTTCCAGAGCTAATATCTTCGAGAAATCAGCAAACCAACCAACAGAAAAAATTTACATTGCTGACGGAAATACGTGTGCCGCATTTTCAAATCCAGGAAACCAACGGAAAACACTTAATTGCTGACCACGATGTGTCCTTAAAACTCTTGCTAGATTAGATTGGCAGTCTATAAGGAGGATTATTGGTGAAGGTTTCTTCACTGATATTAGATAAAACGTATACCAACTCCTAAAACACTTTGTATTTCATGTACTTTTGTGAATCATTTGTCTGATGACTCAAGAGTCAACTTTTGTACTATACTTATCTGACTGCCTAATTGGGTGATAAATCTGATAACCAAGATACCTCAACACAGTAAAATCTCACTCAAATTTCGATCAAAAGTATGTAACGTTGCCCTGAATTTAATGACCAGAAAGCATTTTGAAACTCCGCGACAACTAGCAAGAATGATTTAGTTTAGCTAGACATATTAACATGACAATAAAAAGTCAGTGCTTAACATTCAAAGATGTCCTTCCTTAATTTTGTTGTTTCATGATTATCCGGCAGCGGAATAAAATACGAAACCGCAATGTTGTAATACAAAGGGCTTTGTTTGCAACTACGCTTAGCTACGCAGCTTTCATGTCTCTTCAGTGACTCTCTTTTGACCCTCTTCCTGGAGGAAGTAAGGGGAGAGTCTCTTTCCTTGACTATCTGTAACTGCTGTAACGACCTCTTGACCCATATTTGTTAAGCTGCTTCATTAAAAAAAAAATGTTTGTGTTAGTTCTTATTGAGTTAACTGTCTCGTGACCTCTTTAAAAGTCATAGGACAAATATGTTTTTACAAAGAGAGGATACCGATATATGATTTTAATTGTTGGTCACGCAGTACTAGCGTGGGTCGTGAGATGACGTCACTGATGCGTTAAAGAGTTCGCCTTCTGAAAAAATGTAATAGTGTTAAACTCATCATGCTGATCATAGCATAAGGCCGCTTTTTTTCGAAAATATTTTTCCTCAGATGCTCAGAAATATATCTTTTAAAAGACATGATTAAATTTCTAATCGTGTATAAAGTGAAAACAAAATACATGCACAAAAAAGTACCTCTTTCAATTTTGTCACACATGATGTGATCACAGCAAAATCATTTATGACCCCAGTGGATCAACCTCGTTCCCAGGGCTCTCTCCTACCCGCCCTACGGAGGGCGGCTGTGACAGCGGGTAGGAGAGAACCCTGGGAACGAGGTTGCCAGTGGATCACTTTACGGTGAAATCCAAACACCAAACCGCTCAAAAACGTGTTAAAAAAGGGGATTTTGGCTGGAGCTGAAGAAAGGGGAACGCGTTCAAGTTCGGACAGAGATGGTAGAATTTATCGCCTTGCCGTTCCCGTTCTCAAGTAAACTTAAAATTTGGTCATTTCACGTCGTAGTTGTGCAGTGAAGGCAAAGAAATGTACAAAAAAGCGTGATGCACGTGCAGAGTTGTTGTTTTGCTCATTAAACCTATTGTTTTTTGAGGTTCCCGTTACCGTCGTCGTCGTCGTGGTTTCGTAAGATGCCTATTATAGAGTAGACTTTTGCTGACTAACATCGGAAACATGACATGTAGGATTCAGTGCTCATTACGTGCAGGCCACGCACGTGAGGCCCCGTCTAGCGTCTGAAAGTTTTCTTGCATAAGGATGATTTTTCAAATTGTCCATCACGCTAAGTGCGCCTTCAAAAAAATCCAAAATTCTTAGCGTTTGCAAACACGTGCTCAAAGAAACACAAAAATCAAATCAAAAGCAAAATGCAGATGAGCGAATTATGTATTCAAAATTTACCCGGAATGTACAAATATATAAAAATTAAAAATTAAAAATCCTGAATTAAGTATAACAAAGTTACCCTGGGTTCCACAGTTATTTTTTTCTCATTTAATTTTTCGTCATAGGTATTTCGAGAACAAGCCTGCAGTACAGGCGTATTTTGGAAGAGCGAAAGCTGCTTGTTTATGCACGTACAACCGCCATCTCTGATGTTGTCACGGAGGAAGATTAGGGAGAGTAAAAATACCAACCCTTAGGGTAGGTGCCCCCTACCCCACTTTTTCTCCTCTCTTTCGGAGTTTCAACACGGCGCTTTCGCCAGCAAAACATTCGCGCGCCCGAGCAGGCTATTCGAGAACGGACCTCTTGAGCCAGGGTAAAACAAAGGTCTGGAAACTTAGGAAAATATCATCAAAAATGTAATGACCCCTGGTATGACCGCGGAACTTTAAACAAAACATTGAAACCGCAAAAGTCTAAATTTTGAAAATATTACTGCTCGAGAACGCACCTCTTGAGCCAGGGTAACACAATGGTCCGGAAACTTAGGAAAATATCTTAAAAAATGTAATGACCCCTGGTATGACCGCGGAACTTCAAACAAACATTGAAACCGCAAAAGTCTAAATTTTGAATTTCCAATTTCCAATTGCGTAACGTATAGAACTAAAAAAACAGAACCGATTTCTTTAATTTCGCTCCCGGAAAACAGGCGGAATAATACACGTAAATTAATGCAATTATTTTAGTTATTGTTCCTGAAAGGCTGGTTTAATGCAGAGTAATTTTATTCAATGTTACTACGAAACCGTTGAAATATCCAGTGGAAATCCTGTCAACTCTAGACAAGTTGCCGTGGGCGGTACCACATTTAGTGGCCCAAGTGAGGCGTGGGGCAATAACATAAAAAACATCTAGTGTGTTATGGTCATCACTATTCAATTTCGACCTCAGTGAACAGAAAGTTCCGAAAGAAGAACCAGTGCTTATTCTGTCGATCGAAATGGATCCAAACTTGCTTTTACTGATAATGATGACCATTGTTCTGTATTTTTTCACGATGATTTGTTTGGCCGTAATAACAGCCGGTCAGCAAAGAGTTTTTGCAGTACAGGCCCCTGAGCTGGTCGACATCAGGAGGCAAGGCGCGATACAAAGGCTAGAGGACATTAGAATACAAGTGGAGGACCAAACCATTAACAGAAGAGCTGAGAATCGAGTACATCCACAACCTCAGGAACATGACGAATGAAATAGTTAAGTAAGTATTTCTATGGTTGTTGGAAATTTTTAGTTTGCTTTTCCAGTTTAAATAAATCAAATGTCGTATTTGTTATTGTTTTTGTGACGGTGTCGTTGTGTCGTCATCAAAGTAACTGCTTGTTGAAACTTTTAATTGTCTTCCTTCTCGTTTTTACAGATCTTTAAGTAAACCTTAGTTAAGAGTTTTACTGTAAACCCTTCGGGTAACTCTCTAAGCCCTAAGAGTGATCAGTATCACATTTCTCCTTGTAATATCAATGCTCTGTAAAACAGAGTGGTCATTAGAATACGGACATGATCACACAAGATGAATTTGCTTGATATTTTACATTGACATTATTTTAAGAACAGCTTACGTTGCCCACTCATTTCCGGGTTAAATTTTCATACCAACGAGCGCGCTGTACAATACCATGTGTCTTATTAGTTCCTTCCATTTTCCTTCAAAGCCAATTGCTTGATCCTCACTGCTGTTAAAAATGTTTTAATTTTTTTAGGACATCCTCCGAAGACTGGTTCAGTTGCAAACATTTTGCCTTTTGACCTCCTTGTTCGAAAATCAATTTATGATATTTTGTGGATATTCTGGAAAAAAGATCGGTATTGGACAATGCAGTTACCCTCGCCCACTTTTCACGCTACAATCGACATCTACTTACTTATCTGACTGCCTTGCTGAGAAGAGCACAGAAATCAACACAGCTTTTTTTAAGCACGGCCGCATCCTTTTATGCTGATAGGGCGACATATCAGTTCCAACGAGTGTGAATTATATATTAATTAGTGTGTAGACCACAGAGAACTCGTATGAAGGGAAAAGACGTTTTGAAAGTGTATTAAAACACCGCCCAAGAAAACAAAAAGTCCACTTCCGGTTTAACAACAAGTCGGTTGGTGTGGTTATACAGGGTTATTTTAAGCACATTGACAAGTGGGATAACCTTATGTACTTGAAAGGTGCACAATCACGCACATTTTTCCATATCTGTCATTATGATTTTTAAACGTATATGATAGTGTGGAGGTTGCTTTGTATTTGTTTTTATAAGTGATAGGATAATCTCAATTGAAAGCAAAAACAAAGCAGCTGAATTTCAAGGGAAAGAACCACATCCCGCTACATTTGCTCGACGTTAATTTATTCTACTAAAGCGTTCAACTTAGCTTTGCAAAACAGAAAAAAAAACGTTAAAATAGATTAGTCTTGAAAACTCGGCTTCTTACATTTGCAAAATACAAGATTGTAAACTTAATTTAATTTATTTTTTGCTCTTTTTCTTAACATAGGGGTCACAATATAGTATAAGTACGTAATAATCACTGAATAAAGACAGTGTGTTTACGTCTACAAAAACTCTTGGCATGCCTTTTTCTTTTAATGACTTTTAATGGTTTCATTTTCTTTTGTTGACGAGTAACGATGGGGAAGCCCCGATCTGTCAAAACAACCTTAATGGTTTTTTTTTTGGTAAGTAAAACACACACAGAAAAAAAAATTACACAGAATAAATAAAGTAATAAAAAGAAAAAAAAAACAAAAAAACAAATAGAGAATTTACACACTTACATGGCAATATACTTACAAATATTAAACTACGTTACAGCAGTGCTAATTCCATATATTACTGTACTTAGTATGATCTATAATTAATTTTTACATTTTTTTTCCTTTGCTTTCTTTGTGGTGAAAGCAATATAAATATTCATGGTAGGTGCAGATATTACTAATTTATGTTTTTGGAGTTACGAGACAAGACCCAGCGAGGAAAGGAAAGGTTTCTATTTTCTTGTATTGCGCGGTGTCTTATTTTCTAATTGGTATATATGTCTCAGATAAAACAAGAAATTGTTGTGAATTGGGAAACATTCTTTTGATCTGCATATCCAGATAAAGTTCTTAGCTATAAGACAACAGAATTTTATATGGAGCTTAAAGGAAGAGCTGTCTGGCGTTAGGCCCAAAGCGGTAGTCATGTCTAAGTAACTGCCTGGTTGCAGGATCTGGCACGACTGAAGCGATATCGAGAAATTATCCCAAAAATTTTTGGTTTTTTGGCATTTTCAAAATAGATGTGTCAAATCCTCTTTCTCGTAATGGCAAAAAGTACATTTTCCGTCCTCTTTAACTCCTATTCTTTACAGATAGCTCTTAGTTGGTAAACGTCTGTGTAAAAATGTGAAATTAAAATCAATTAGTTTGGAGCTGGTTGTACAAGTGTTTGCTGCTTGAAAAACGTTTCTCCAGTCAACATTTTTATCGGTTGAAGAGTGGATGTCTTTATGCCATTTGTCTATACAAGATATGGGTGTTTTACTTTTATTTGCTATTAGTAAGCAATTCTAGATGATTTTTGGCTTTTGAGAAATGTGTTAAAAGGACTTTCATACTGCTGATGTGTTCTCGGGATTTGTCGTTGTAAAGATTTCAAGGCTGAGACGATTCCGAAAAACATTAAGGGTTTTACTCGAATGTTATATCTGTTCTGAAAATGGTCGAGGGAAAAAAAGTTGAGAGAATTCTCGTCCATTAGATGTTTAACTTTTGTTATATCCTTGTTAAGCCAATTATTGCAGAAAACTGGTGCGTTATTTATTCTTATTAATGAATTTTGTAACAGAGGTAGAGATAGGAAATGATCTTTTGATACTATTTTCCTCTCGAAGAAAGTCTCAGACCAAATTTCTACAATTTCTTTGATAAAAGGGTCTTCTATCTTTAGCTTATCAATATCCTTTCTGTTAAGATTTCCTAATTCGAAAAAACGACTCCCTCCGTATTTTCCCAGCGCCAGATTAAAGAAGTTTTCCCATTTGCCACGGTTTCCTGAATCTAGATACTTTTTAATCTACGTAGCCTTGAGTGATTTGTTAAAAGAAGCAATATCAATCATTTTTAGTCCTCCTTCAGGGTAGTCATTGATCATGATCGAGCGTTTAATTTTATCCTTTTTGCCGTTCCATAAGAAATTGAAAAAAAGCTTGTTGATCTCTTTTATTGCTTGGTGATTCGTTTGCAAAGGTGTGAGTATATAGACCAGTTGGGATGCTACAAGGCTTTTTAGTACTGTTATTTTCCCTATTAAGGGAAAGTTCATTTAATTTGACGACGGGGGATGAAGATATTGAAACTCGAAGCTTGAAATTTTAGCAGCCCCCCTCGCTAGCGGTTCAATTTTTTAGGAGCCCCCTCCTTGATAGTCGAAAAAATGTCAGAGCCCCCCCCCCTCCTCCTTCAATTCCTTTGCTCCCCTGAAAAAAGATCGCTAGACTGTATTAAATATATTTACCGCTATTGTCTTCAATGGTTTATACTATGACAAACTTGAGATACAGTTGTGATACAATTTTCTAAAGCATTTTTAGGATGAACAAGAGTGTAATAATTACTGAGACTACATTTGTTATATCTGTAAACCACGTGATATAGCTGAGTTGCACAGGTCATTAAATTGTTGAGTTGAAAACCATCCGATCTGTATGATGATGTCACGTGTTGATTTTGAAGTATACAAATTTTCGGAGCCCCCCCTTCGGGTGTCTAAAAATTTTCGGAGCCCCCTCTCAATATCTTCATCCCCCCCCTTGTCATATTAAATGAACTTTCCCTAAGCTAAGTCTTCCAAATTTCCAGCATCCCAAGATAGTTTGGATTTTTGCCAATTTCTCGTTGTAATTGAGAGAGAGTGTTAACTGGTGATCTGTAGAGAGCCACACGCCTAGTGCTTTGACCTTTCCCTTTTGCCATTTAAAATTTTTTTCCGGACAGAGTTTCAGGTTGCAGTTTCTTTTAGAACCTATCCACGAGGTCTCTGTTTTCTCATTGTTCAGCCTTAGGCCAGATATGTTCCCAAATACCTCTATCAGTAACACTGACGCTCTTACTGATTCTTCAGTTCCATCTAAAATGAGTGTCGTGTCATCCGCATATTGACTTACTTTAACTTCAGTATTATAGATTTTGATGCCCTTTATTTCTTTCTTATTGCGAATAGCTTCAGCGAGTATTTCTACGGACAGTATGAAGAGATAAGACGACAAGGGGCAGCCTTGCCTAACAACTCGACTTAACTCAAAGAAATTGCTTGCCCATCCATTAATTAGTATATAGCTTTCGGTATTGCAGTAAAACAGTTCAACCCAGTTTAACAGTGAGGGGCCAAACCCAAAGTGCCGTAACGTTTGGTTTATGAATGACCAATCTAACGTGTCAAAAGCTTTTTCAAAATCGAGGAAAAGAAGTAGACCGGGTAAACCTTTGTTTTCTGTATATTTAATAGCACTATCTATAATGTGCGTATATTGTCACTTATACATCTGTTTTTAACAACCTTAATGTTACTGCAGCACGTTGGCAGAAAACTTACATCTAGCTCTTACACAGACTCAGTCTCTACTTTTCAACATTTGAAAAATGTTTCTTATAGGTCTTACGACTTAGCGTATTGCAGAAATCATAGAAAGTTCAAAGTCTCTCAACTGGCTAAACATCATAATGATACACGGCCTTTGTCGATTCTTCTTAGTGACCGTTCATTCAACACCGCGCAACCAAAACACGGAACAAATTCGACTTACAGTGGCCGTTGTGTCTTTTACAGTTAAACGCCAAAGGGCCTTCTGAAGACAATCCGCATGCGAGCACACACAACAAACCATTTAATTATTGGCCGTTTTTATACTAAGGACGCATTATCCGACCGGACGAACTTGGGCAAACATTTGTAGTTCGTCTGGTTATGCGTCTCTAGTATAAAGACGGGCACAAGACGCATTATGCTTCTGGATGAACTTTCCTTCGAAAAACGTCTTGAACGACGCACTACGAAAGGTAGTTCGTTTGGACGCATAATGCGTCTCGTGCCCGTCTTTATACTAGAGACGCATAACCCAGACGAACTACAAAATGTTTGCCCAAGTTCGTCCAGACGGATAATGCATCCTTAGTATAAAAACTCTTATAAACGCAACTATCTAGTTTTACGTAAACAAGATGATTTATTTAGATACAATATAATAAGAAGAAATAAGTCATAAATAACCTGATAGGATAAAAAGTTACATCTTAGGATATCGCAAGTTTAAAGATAGTAAGATCTTCTGTCCCACGTGTTTGATTTGATTCCAAGCCATTGCGCCCCGATAAGAGAATGAGCGCTTAAGAAAATTCGTTTTAGGTAGCCGCGGTAATTGGAGATCATAGTTTGAACCCCTCAAATAATTGTTGTGAACTTCAGAAGTTCTATGAAACCGCTCCAGAAGGTACGTAGGACAATTATTATTGAATGCTTTAAAAATCATAATTATCAAGTGCCTTTTTCCTCTTTCTTCTAAGTGAGACCACTTTAGAGAATTAAACACATCTGATGATCTGATAGAGTAATCAGCTCGAGTATAAATCCGTGCTGCTCTATTTTGCAACTTTTGCAATTTGTCAGCACGTATTTTGGAGCAGTCACCCTATACAACATCACAATAGTATGTGGGGTTAAACAAGTGAATAGTAAATAGTTTAAGAGTCTCTTGATTGTCGGTTAGTTTTCTAGCTAAATACAGCATACGCAAGCCATTAGAGACTTAAAGAAACCCCCAATAACTTAGTAGAAGGTTTATTTACCAAGAGAAAATAAATTATACCCCTTGTGTAAGTCGAATGAGGTAGAAAATGAGATTTATTCACTCTTTCAATGTAATAAACACTCAGAACAGAGACAGACATAATCAAATCAATCGAATAATACCTGACTTTGAAACGAAATCTTCTCTAGAAAGCATAAAACTGATAGTGAATTCCAACGACTATCTTGCAAATAAGTTAGTTGTGAAGTTTACTCAGTTCCTGTAAGAAAATACGTGATTCATCGGAGGTAGCTTAATTTTCAGTTTAGTGCTAGTGTTGTTTGTTTTATTTTGATTGTAATAGCCATGCTTTTGCAATACTGTACAAAGCAAGCAATTTATTACTTACTTATTTAAAAAGCATTTCACCCTCCTCCTACCCCCCCCACCACCACCACAAAATAAACAGTCCCCCGAATCTTTTCGTGATGAAAAAGAAAAGAAGAAATTATGTACACGGATCAGGGACTAAGAGAAGTCGAAAAAAACGTATACCCCAGAAAAAAAGACAGTGAGGAAATAAACAGGGCAAAGGAGACAACAAAAGACCACAACTCGTAAGTAATGGCACACAGAGTCCAGAGTCCAGAGTCCAGAGTCCAGAGTCCAGAGTCCAGTCCGGAGATCAGTCCAGAGTCCAGTCCAGAGCCCACCGCAAAAGGACGAGACGACATTGCAAGTAGACAAGACGACATGACACATCGACAAGACGACAGAAAACGGAGACAAAACGACAGAGAAAATAGACATCGAGTTACTTTTGACCCCGATACCGCGCCATAATGGGTTTCATTCAAAACGGAAACTGCCTTAAATACTTTATTGTTCTGTATTCATCTTGGAATGACGATGTAAAAAAGGCAACGTGTCATATTTTCGAAAATCACGATAAACCACTTAAGAGATAAAATAATCATTCACCGGAGTCACAATATCACGCAACAATTGCCCGTTAGATTATTACAAATTGTGAAATTTACTGGAGACTAATTTTGCTAATAATAGCCGCCTGGGCAATTAAGGATCGAGAGACCTGGACCTTTTATGGTTTAGTGAAAAAGGCGTGGATTGACTGAGATATGCCGTCAGTGAAACAAAAACCTCGAATAAAAGGGTGCCTAAGGCTAACTTGTGGATTTTTAATATTTTAAAATCACTGAATCTTAGAAATGAAACCTGCAATAAGTCTTCCGGTATATTTTAACTCTGTCAAAATATGAAAATATGTTTTACCAAAAAGCAAAAACAAAAAACAAAGGACCAAAAAAGGAGAAAAGAAAAAAAAAGGTTCCCACGGCGAGAGTCAAACCCCGGACCTCGGACGTGGAAGATTAGCGCGTTATTTTTAATGCGCCACGATAACTAACATTAAATCTCTACGTTAAATAAATCATCTTTAACACTTTTGCCCATGAAATTCTGCCGGTGTTTAAGCTGGTAGAGCTTTATTAATGAAGAATTGAAAGATATATGCGTGGAAAACAAGCATGGTTTTGACAGTTAAAGCCGTCTACTTTGACTCATTTCGTCGCATTTGGAGAACATCTGGCCGATAAGTGTCTCGCAAAAACGTGGCGAAGTATCTGTGCAGGGCTTAAGAATGTAACGTTTTACGGACACCATAGCAGGTCTAAAGTCACTAAGGTGACTAAAATCAACTTACAATTTTTTTGAGACTAAATGGTTAATAAATGCTTAAAATCAAGGCGATGTCTTCATGATGCTATAGTGAAACAAACCACGTTCCACCCCCCGGGGGGACTCCGCATATGAAAGGGGTAGGGATGCTCGTCGGAAATTTTGAATTAAACCCCTATAGGAGATCTGGGCGTGGGCGCGGCCCAAGCCTTTTCTGACCCCTAAAAGAGACCATGTTAAAACACAGACAATATATATGTTTTTATATTTTTTCACGTGCAACCCTAAACGAGACCTTCACGTCTACATATGATGGCGTTTTGCCCAGAACACCCTAAGTGAGACCAAAATCCGAAATTTACACCTCTAAGCGAGAAGACGAGCATCCCCACCCCTTTCATATGCGGAGTCCCTCCCTCGGGGCTCCACCAGTTCTACGGTTTAAAAAGCAACCGTCGTCTTGACTTCGCCGCTCAACTTTCACACGATACTTCTCAAAATAAAGTATGTTTTACCTCCTTCAAATATTAACATTATTTGACTTCCAAAGTTTATCGTCATCTTTCTTGTAATACATTTGTGGCCTTGTATGTAAGGGGAGCTTTTGGCTATAACATTAATTTTTCTTCCGATATATGCACCTCAAAAGTATAGCCTTGTTCTGCTTCATTTATATTCATTTTGCAGGGGCAGCCAGCTTTTTGACTAGTTGTAGGCCTGGATGACTTCTTATTTCCACATATCCTGAAAATTGCACGCATGACTAGGACGCACTGACCTCACCAATACTTTGAGCTTTTAAGCTTTTTAGCTCACCCCAACAACGCATAATTTATTACAAGCAGTAGAGTGATCAAACCAAAAATTTGTAGGCCCGGGCCTACAGGTCTATAGGCTGGCTACGCCCCTGTTTTGGAGTTTTCATTATTTAGTTTTCTTTTAACTTTCTCAATAAATGAATGTTCTGCTTCATTCATACGACGTCCAAATGCCAATACTGCAAAGTACAGTTAATTTTTATAATGCTAATTCTGCGGTAGAAGCCTAAAATAAACAATCGTCAAGAACAAGGGAGAGTGACCTTGTCCAAGCCTGGCTTGGTTCCAATAAGCGCCTAAATATACCGGTTTTTATCGATTGACTACTCCGGGTGTACGATCATTATGCTAATCATTGATTTTATTGATTGTACCCTGCGGGAATACAACATCGCCTATCATAACTAAAAGCCTGATCCTAACAATTGTCCACATACCACAATAAAATGAATAGATAAGTCTTAAACCGTGAACAACCCCCAAAACAACCCTACGCTTTGCTTCGTTTGGTTTAAAAGAAGGTCGAGACAAAAAGAAACAATAGAAACTTCCGCTTTAAAAATAAACAAGGGACCACGTGTACGTTGCTTGTAAAGCAGAAATTAAATAAATGTTGCTTTTATTGCAATTTACAAGGCCACACATAGACAAAAAGGCCTCTGTAACCGTTTCAATGTATTCAATGCTACTATCATGCTATATTAATGATTGATCAATGACCACGTGGAGACTTTTATCGTGCATATCGTTAGTAGAGAGCTTAAGCCAAGACCCTGTCGACTTTAATATGCCTTAAGGCTACCAATATTTTAATTGCTCGGTTTCTTTACTCTTATAGACACAAAAGCGCGCTTGCGGTGGACGTGTGACGCTCAAAAGTGTCTTTATATCGTGCGACTAGTTAACTCGTTAACTGACACCACTTTTGTCATAACCGTCAAAATAAAGTCGAGTATTAAAAAAGGAGGTTCCTTGAACAACGCCCCCTCCAAGCTGATTGGCCAATAAACGCCTCGAGACTTCTCAAAATAATAACATAAAACTGTGTATTATCTGAAGGACTTTCATTTCTTGGGACAGCAAGCTTGTGGAGGCTGAAAAGTTGTGACCAGTTTTGCCAATTTTCTTCACTGACAGTAAGAGCCAAGAATGGCGACCGACATAATGTGCGTTACATCACTTATAATGATGTGCGCACTTGGGTACTGTGTGATAAAGCTTTGCTTATGTCTGATAAACGCCAGTACACGAATACTTCAAACTATGGGCACAGGAGAGCAAATGCAGAGAGCTGCAGACAACGCGCGAGGGTTACCTCCCATCTACACTCCTACTAGGAATACGTACGTCGAAAGAAGGGTAACCAAGTCAATTTCAAAAAGTAGCGTTTTGGCAGTTTTATTTAGAATTTTATTTGATTTCAAATCAACAAACACGCCAATATGGTTAGCACGACGTAACTATTTATCAATTACGATGTGTGTGTTTTTGTACTTTGTGAAATAGACTTACCCTACGATGAGAGCAGCCGACGACCAAAGAGCCTTCGTAGTTCATCAGGCTCAAGAAACGGACAGAAGAGAGCAAAGAACAGTATACAGACCTGGGGACATTAGGCATATTATTTCTCGCCAGCGCCCTCAGGAACACGACGAACGAACAGTAAGTATAGGTCATTCTCTTCTATTCGATAACTTATACTCATTTCAAATCAGTCTTTCTGTAAGTATATCAAAGGCATAAGGACAGAATACTTTTTGTATATAATATAGGTGTATTTTGTTTCCCTCCGCAGTATTTATAACACAAAAGCTTACAGGCCAGACCAAATCCCTGAAACAAATAATTGAAATGAAATATAAAAAGGTTAAGAATCACTACAGGCTGGAGCGGGGCAAAGAAAATTGTTTTCGATTTTTTGATTTTGAACTCGCGACTACCGAGAATCAAATCAAACGAGTTATAGGAGGGTGGGAATTGATCTCGAGGCCTCCGGGTTGCCTGTCACTAGTTCAGTTATTTTTTCCTCACTTTATCCAAAAATAACTCCGTCTTTTCGAAAACTCATATTAACTAGCTGTTGAAAAAAGGCCAGTGTTCTTCCATTTTAACAGACGGTTAAAAATGTCGATTTTTCCCAAGCGCTGTAAAGTGAGCAGTCTGCACACTTAAATACATATGTAATTGCTTAGATTGCAACATCATTACTTGACTACTTCAAGTTCTGACTAATTTTGTGTGTTTGGTTCACTACTTAGTGAAATCCAGGAGACTATGAGGAGAGGTTCATATCAAAATTTCAAGCTTCAGTTACCCTAGAAGAAAGGATCACCAGGCGCTCTGTCTTGTATGTTGTTATTGACAAATATCACAATAAGTCACCTTTGAAGTGTTTCAAGCGCTAGGACAAATCCGCTATTAATCATCTAATATAAACTAAGCATGGGCCTATTAGCGATTTACGTAAACCGCGGGACTCCTTTTCGATTTTAATTTCAGTTAAAGTTTTTGTAGATACGGAGACTAAAGAGATATACCAATGTGTCTGTGTTATCCAGTTGTCCGGTGGACTCTACGAGTAACGACGAAAGCAACGGCCCCGAAAACGGCAAAATAGCAACTCCGCACGTGCAGCACACTTTTTTGTACATTTCTTTGTCGTCACTGCACGACCGCGACGTGAAATTCCTTCACGGAACGTCTTATGGAGGACGTTGGCACACTACGACGAATTTTTCTTTTTCAATCTTAACTTGGGTTCGGTCCCCAAGAATTCATGCAGTTCGGGGAAAATTAACTTGCATTGTGTAGTTCCGGAAAATATCCAAGTGCCCGTGGGGGGTATGGATATTTTCTGGAGTTGAAATAATCCCAAAAACGTTTAAAAAACGGGAAAACGTCTTTACAGGGACTTTTTCGCTGCCGTCGCCGTCGTCATTGCTACAACCCCGGACAAAACCTGTTGAGACAAATCGCGAAAATGCCTATTTTTTCCTGTCATCCCGGCAAAAACTGAAACCGCCGCCAAATGAATGCCCGATTTCCCCCCTCCCCTTATCCAAAGTTGTTTAGGATAGCATGGCAATTATACACGTTGGTTTTTAGACCAAGGCAACTTTGAATAGGGGGTGGGGAGGGGGTTTACTTTTTGTGTTTAGAGGAGACGGGAGTAGGGCGCAAAAGTTAGAAAATAGATGGAATTGTCTCAACAGTTTTGTCCGGGGTTGTAGGGCACACAATTTAAGGCCTTCGGAACAGACCGAAAATATTTTAGCTGCATCTTTGAATCAAACTGAAGAAACCTTGGCTCGTTCAAATAGTCTAGAACTGAACATTTCACGAATTATGGAAATTTGTACTTAGTTTACCCCATAAAATTCCAAAAAAATGTTAGAAACGTAATTAAAAGAGAATTTCGTGTACATAGTAAATTACCCGCAGTTATCAAAACACAAATGGAAACTCATTGAAAACTCAAGCCGCGCACCACTAAACTTCGATTTAATTAAAGTATTTGTAAATGAGTACTTTTTAAGTACGATATGATTGTTGATAGATGACATTTTCACCTTTTTGGTAGTAAGTTACCTTTCTGATTATTAAAAGGTGAACACAGTAGGGTAACGAGTTATCACAAGTGAAAACGAAATACAGCAAAGGCGAAAGTTTGTACAAGTATCTTTCAAATTCCTCACATCGATGTTTTTTAAGACACAAGTTTAATACATGCAAATACACATTGTGTGTCCATCAGATGGGTAACGTTTGGTGGATTACTCTGCCTGCAGAATTCCTTTCAGTGTCAAGCTTTGATAAAACATGAACCTTGAACTTTTTAAACGACTTCGACACATCTATTCATTCTTGCACTAATATGTACATTAGGGGTTATTTTGGCCAAGTTTACTGTGCGTAAAGTTTAGCCGTGTCTATATCAGATATGAAGACACCAATTAAACATTATGTTCTTTGTATACTTTTCTTTTCAATTATAAATAAGCTTCTGAAAGGGAAATAAATGCCTAAACAAGCGACTTACACTTAATCTCATCATAGTTATTAGAGGAGACTGGTTATGAAAAGCGGCAAACATCAATGATAAAAACAACAGTGCTGCAGTTTACGTTGGAAGTACCGTGAAAGTGCACAATCCTTTGTTTTCTGTTGGCAAATTGTTACGGAATAAATTAATGCAACGTTCTTATTGGTCAATACAATCAAAATGATAGGAATTCTTTTGAACGTTGTGCACTTTCAGGTCCACAAAAACATATAACAAAGGAGTCTGACGGGTTTCATAACCATTCCACTCAATTAACTATGATCTCATAGACTTCATTCTGTTGTTTGCTTTATTACGGATAACAGTGAGTCCTTGAAATGACTGGGTAAATTTTTAAAATATTTTGGTAAATACAAAGGTTGAACTAAGCGGTCTCCATTGTTCTTTAGAAAGCGCTCAGCACTGCCAAACACCAGAGGGCATTAGCTTAACGACTTAAATAACATTTATTTACTGTAACCAATCCTTCTTGACACTCGCATTAAAGAAGAAATTTACAACAACTAACCTTTCATACCAGTTTTTGTACAGTATCCAGCTCTCCAGCTTTTGCTGCTGTGAACAACAATCGCTGACACTGCAGTGTGGTGGTGCCTGCAAAAATCTGATACAGAAACCTAAAGGCAAAAGAAAACGACAAGTCTGTTTAGCGTTCGTAACTATAGGAGGAACTTAATTCGTAAAGATTTCATAATTCCACAGCAGCAAAAGCTCGAATAAAATTGGCAAATGATGAATATCGTCACCATAGATAGTTTAACACAAAATCAGATAATATTGACAAACTATCAATAACGTCGCAGATATACACTCAAGAACAAGTTCAAATAAAAATTGATAAACAATAAGCCTGTGAGCAGGCTCTCTCTTTGGGAAAGGGGTGAAAAAATCGCTTTTCCCAAACAAAGCGGGCCTGTTCACAGGCTAACAAAACAATGAATATCGTAGGCAATATAGTCTGTACACAGATCCGTTTTTAGTTAAAGACAAAACCGGTTGTAAGGCAAAAGGAATATTCAAATAAAGCACAGTATGGGTCTAGTGGATCCTCTCGAAGCGTCACAGGATTAACGGTAGCTACACAATGCTTGTTATCAAACTTGGGAGAGAGATTCACTTTTGCTCATGCAAGATGTAAAACGTCAGTTCACGTTCGTTGTTTGGTCGGGATTACACAAGGTTTCAGTTTAAATAACATACCAGGATCCGGCCTTTAACGTCTTTTTTCTTGATGAACTTTCAAAGTATATCTGAAAACAAGAAAGATAACAAATTATGTAATAGGGATGTTAAAAAAATGGACACTTCCCGGTGATTGGTACGCTGGATGATTGCAAGGATATCCCCATATAGCCTGTGTACAAACGCCCTCTCCCTCAGATAAAAATTAAAATTCAAAATTCAAAAGACAAACAAACGAAAAAAGGGGGGAGGGGCGTGTGGACACAGGCTATCCCCACAATTATAAGATACTTGTCCGCGGTTTTCAATCAAGTATAGTAACTAATTTACATTCGCATAAAAGCCACCTTATGCCTTTTGATAGATAAGTTATGGGTGAAAAATTTTGCATAAGGCATAAGGTGGGCTGATAGAGAAAATTTGCCAGCGCCGCTGAAGGGGAGGAGGGTGAGGAAACTTGCTTGCCCGTTGTAGAGTAGACTTGCGAGAAGACGGTGAATTTGTTTGCTAGGGCGTATAAAAGGCCTAGGGAATTTCCCTGGGGACCGTAAAGGACCAATAGACTGCTTCCCGAGGGAGCACGCAGTAATCTAGTTGATTAAATCGTCACGCGGCGGCTTTTATACGAATGAGAATAGTCAGTGAAACCCTAAACAGAGTAGTTTGTAATGTAGCGCGAATTTTTTTTTTCAACCAAACCAAACTTTACGTAATGCGTCTCTCTCTTAAGGAAGTAAAGTGAGCTCTTAATTAACTGACATCTCGCTAAGACGGATACCTAAAGTTTGTCCCTGCCTTTCAGTTGACTCTCTATAAGACGGACATCTCTCTAAGATGGACACATAGCGCCGGTCAAAAAGGTGTCTGTCTTCGACAGAAATCAGCTTGTACAGGTGCTCGATATATAAATGACAGATATTTCTAATGAAGCGAGAAAGGCCTTGATTGGCACCAAGAATCGAATATGAGGTGGACCTGAAGAGTGGGTTATTTTAGAACATCACGTACCTCATATTTGGTGTGATCACCGTTTATCTCGACAACTTGTTCTTCTTCCAAGCCCAGTATTTATCGGACAGTTTCTAAAGTGGGCGAAAAATCACTGCGATCAAAAAAGAAAAAAAAACTCTTATATCCAACGTCATAATTATGATCATTATCATTATCATCTCACAAAGTCTGAAACAAAAGAATTATTTGCCCGTTATTGTCGTTTGGCTCAACAAGATGCGTCATTCGTCAGACCCTGGTGTCGGTTACTTTTCATGCTCTCAAAACATGCTTACTAATGATGAAATCTAAGCTGTAATTGCGACACCATTGAGAAAATACAACAAAACAAAACAAAAAAACAGGACCCAGTTGTTCGAAGGCCGATTAGCGCTAACCCAGGCTTAAATTTTAACCTGGTTTTTTTCTTTTGTTCAAAAGCATTTTCCCGGATAATTTTCTCTCTTCTTTTTAGAGCCTCCAATCATCAAATTGTAGGCAAAAAGAATAAAACTGAATTTGCTTCTCAAGCTTTCATATCTGAAATCAAATTTCACACTAACCCTTAGCTGTCCGATGTAAATGTAAATGTAAATGTAAATGTCGCGATTGAGAGGACAAACATACATGTCCTCTTTACATAGCTTTTTGCAGTGGGCTCGGACATCAGCATACTAAGGGCGCCGATGGCAGCCGCTATCAGTCCATTTATGAGCCCACTGAACCCTCCCAACCCATGATGAGTGATGATGTAAGTGATCAGCCTTGCCTTCAGTTTTAAGTGTTATTTTGTATTGCTGATCCTGATCTACAACTTGATCTAGCTTTCCCTCGCTGCTGTTTGTCCACCTGGCCCTTGCAAGAATTGATGGTAAAGAAGGTCTATTGGCCTGGGCCGGGTTGTTCAAAGCAGGGTTAAGTTAACCCAGGGTTACAAATTTATTTATATTTCAGCGATCTTTGCACGCGCTAATGGAATGATGGGATAAAAGCAAGATCACGTGGTTTAACAAAGAAGAAAAACACGATATGGCAAATTATGGTCAATTATGCCCAGTGGAAGTGAGCATTTTTATTTTTGCGAATACAATGACTTTTAACTTCTGAAACTTATCGAAACTTGGACTGTACATTTTGCCAGACTAAAATCGTCGTCTCGTTTTGAGAGAATAAACAAATTATACTCGATACGGGATTACTCGTACTGGCAAAATTGTATATCTTGTCCGTCCCCTGAAATACCATTTGTAATTGGTTTTATCCCATCAAACCAAAGGCCCGCGAATATGTCGAGTAGTGTGAATAAGGTCTATTTAAACGCTACACATTCATCTCACACGATATGTTTACACGACAAGTCTACGTCACTTTGTGTATCGCTGTAAATCTACAGTACAGGCTCTGCCAGGTTGGACTAACATGTACATCATACAAGTCACCGGTGAGAATCGTTGCATGGAGTACTCCTACATAATTACAGTAATGTAGATTCAGCTGTAGATTATTTTTCCAGTCACTGAGTAAAGATAAGCCTCCTGTTTGCTAACGCGCTGATGTGTTAAGTCATGCATCCATCCATACTTCAGACTGATCCACCTCTAAACTCGCCGGGTGGACGGTGTATTTGTTCGGAGTAAGGACAGTAGCATCTCTCGTTATAGTGATAATACTTGCATCGAAAGCCACCAGTATTATCTTTTCTAAGTGATGACGATGGACAGTCGACGAAGCCAGATAACCGTTATAAACTTGGCATTCTATAAAGGAAAAACCTTTCAGTTAGTACAGGTCTCCACACGCATTGCATCTGATTGCATAGATGTACCATCATGAATTGAATGCGCCCGTACCTGCAGGTCTCCCAGACTTTCTTAAAACAGTGACGTCGACAACTCCATGGGATGAAGGAACCGATATTTTGAGTTTTTCGTATGTTGCTTCTATGCCTTCCATAGGATCTTAACTATAAACTTCATCGAAGCAAAATAACATCAGAATCGTGAAAATAACATCCATGGATGACTGATCATGCACGGGATGTTGAGTCTGAATTGGTTAACGGATGACGACCAATGATTGACATCACCAGCAGAGCGTTTTGTTCGAGTTGCAGAGGTCCGGAATTTACCGTAAGTTAGAACGAGACCTTCCAACCCTAACCCTGTTTAAGGTCGTTTAAGACAAAACCTTGTTCATTTCCTTACCCTGTTTAAGATGAGAACTTTTTTATGACTCTGATTCGTTTAACCCTTGGACGTACACGCAAAGTCATCACGACCCCATCGTAGTTAGTGAGTTGGGGGTGTGATGGAGCCCCCCTTCGAGTTTTCGCTATGTTAGAGCATTTCGAAAAGATTTTACCTTCAGTGAAAAGCCTTTGATCTTCTTGGTAAGATGTTGTTTACAAGACTTCATGGGTGATGGCCCTGCTGGAAGCCTGTGACGTCACCAAACATATTCGCCATGTATGGATTGTACCCAGAGTTAGATATCAGGCAAATTAAAGAAAACGGCCGGAGAAAACTAGTATTTTTCTGTGCTTGACATGCAAAATAACACATAAATAAGTACTTTGCATCATTTTATTCAAAGGCTTTTCTTTTATCGTTTAAACAAGTGGAATAACAGCAGGGTTGTCAACCCCCCGCGTTATCTGCTACATCATCACCTAAACTTGTCTCGTTCGTGCGAGGAATAAACGAACACAGTGAGGAACAAAAAACGGAAAATATATTGCCGGTTTAAAAAGATATTAGGCAGGAGGCGAAAACAACAATTTCGTAATTCACTATCAAATTGTTTGCTTTCTCCACTCCCAACGACAGAGCTTTATAGAACTCTCTCCAGCTCTGCAAAACTGTTCATTCATTCATTTTGAGCGAACGAGTTGAACTTGTTTAACTCATCGGTCCCTTTTATTGGTGGCAACATGAGAGGCACGTGACCAGTACCGATTCCCGGCAAATCAGGCTGGGATCTCTGTGACGTAGAAGCTGGGAGCTGGTTCTTTACTTTCTTGGTTATGGCTCGTACCAGGTCTCTAGCATGTTTGAGACTGTAGGCTAAAAGAAATAAAAAAACGGTGATGTTCTTTTTTTAGTAGTTGTCGCCTAAGAAAGTGGAAAAACTCAGTTAGTTAATTAAATTCGCTGCATACAGCGCTTTCACTTAACGTAACAGGGTTTATAATACTTCATGGGTGGTGGCCCTGCTGGAAGCCTGTGACGTCACCAAACATATTCGCCATATTGGATTTTACCCAGAGTTGAATACCAGGTAAATTTAAAAAATAATCGGAGAAAATTGGTATTTTCCTATGCTTGACATGTAAAATAACACATAAATAAGTACTTTCCATCACTTATCTACAAGTTTTCCTTTTATCGTTGAAACAAGTGGAATAACATCAGGACTGTCAACCCGCCACGTTATCTGCTACTTATGACGTCATATCTCGTAACCATAGAAACTGATCATCACCTAAACTTGTCTCAAAGTTCGTGCGCGGAATAAACGAACAGCTACTGAAGAAAAAGCTATTGCTGATGTTTGATCTTTCGGGACCCTCTTGAACCCTCCTTGTCCAAAGGTTAAGTGATTTTTCAAACTACATTGCTGGCACCACAAACTTAGAGCCCTCATCGCCATCCCTCACACTCATGTTTTAAAGGCTTCTGTTCAAGACGCTAAATACTCAGTGAAATAGAATCCCCTGATCAAGACTTAAGACCCTGCAGTTCAGGGGCACATTTCCGTTTAGGCCAAGTAAGGGAGTGCTTTCCCAGGTTCTATCAACTCTGTGTTAATAAAAACGCACACCCTTGGGACGCGCACTCTGTGTCCATCTGAGACAGACGTCCGTCTTGTAATGACACTTCTTAAAAAAGAGGAAGGAATTGAAGGGAATAACTGTGGCGTTTAAGCGAGTTGTACGTCAGAGATGTCCGATAGATAAGGAGGGAGTTTTGACTGCTGACCGCCACACCCGGGACTCTTTGATGTTTGGTACCTCGTATATTTTCAGTACATCACCATTGGATTTGGAGGTGCAAGAGTAAGGCTATATGGCCGGATAGCTTTTCGAGTCGACACGTAAAGCGATCCGGTATGGAATAAATACTTCTTGTATCCGATGTGACCTTCCATCTCACAGATCGGGGCGGCGCAGCTGCGCTCTGTTACAGAAATTGCGCCTAAATTACCAGTTCGTATGTGTGAACAGAAGACCTATTCACACTAACAACGAAATCTGTCCTTTTCAGGGGCGGATCTAGGGGGAGGGTGCAGGGGGTGCGCACCCCCCCCCCCCCGAGATGACCTGCGGTTTTCTAATACGACTGGTATTCTGCAAAAAAAATAAACTGTGTGGTTTATTGGTGTTGAAGTAGAGCAAGAGACGAGTGCACCCCCTCCTAAAAAAAATCCTGGATCCGCCCCTGCTTTTGGTATTTTATAGAGACAGGCAGACGCACCTTCCTCTAACTAACGATCCTTCCGGCTCTACTATGTTTATCTTGAATGGTCTGGCAATATCTTTTGGGGCTGGGTTAAAAAAAAATTAGGAATGCAGTGTTTGAAAGTACGTATGTAAAATAAGTACAAATTTATTGGGACCGGTATGAAAAAAGTACTTTTTCTATTAAGGAGTAAGGGAGTAACATTGAGTAGAATATTAAATTAGTGGGGGCTTGGACCAGCTAACACCTGGTTCCAGACGTCCATTTTCAAAATAACTAGTACAAAATAAACCGGACTCATGCTTTGATAATTAGAGAGATTAAGATTTACATTTACCGCAAACAGAAAACGTCAGACTCAAGTTAAGAATTTCTCAGAAAAGAAAATAAGCAGATAAAAACAGTTCGGAACGAGAAAGAAGATCAACTATGGAAAGCAAAATACAGATTTGGAGGAGAAAGTCCGCTTCAATTCAATTCAATTCAATTCAGTCCCTGAATGCAAAATGTCTTGCTTCTAGGCTAAACTGAGCCTAACTTTGGCTCGATTTTTCTGTTTTTAATAATTGGTTTTTAAAATGTGAACAATTAACTGTTGTTAATATAAAAATATTTGTAAGAAGCAGCAGCTCTGGTCTGGTCAATACGGGAGATTTTCACATCTAATTTGGCAAGAAAATAAATACAATTCTCGATATTTTTGCTTTTACTCTGTAGGGTGGAGTGTGTGGGGTTTTGTGTGAGTTTCTTTCTTAACACGGCGCCGTATTGTGTAATTCGGAGATGATCAGGAGCATGTTCGTTTGGATGTTAATCGGAAGTTTTGAAACAAGCGAGAAAAAGCCAAAGGCGAAATAAAAAAGGATAGATAGATTACAATAGAGAGAGGAAGTGTGATTTCACGTTACTATGGTAGAAAGATTTCTGGATTTCAACGATCTTTCTTGACAGAAACGGCCATTTGCACTGTCGAACAATGGAAGAAAAGTTTGGGCTACAGTCTTGCTCCTGAGAGCAATCGTGCATAGGAAAGTCGTATTTTTTTCGTTTTTTTTTCTGCCACATTTGTAACGATATCTTCTCTCTTTAGCCCACGTTCGATATATTAAAATCGTAATGTTTCCGAGGCTTTCTGATCATTTTTCTATATTTGGAGTTTTAAGTCTCTTCTGGGAATTGCAAGACAGTGGAGCCGTGAATTTGCAATTTTGACCCTAAAGCCTCGGAGTCATGTTAGAATTTTAATATATCGAACGTGGTCTATTGTCACAGTGAGGAACAAAAAAGGGCCGAAAATATATTGCCAGTTAAAAGCATATTAGGCAGGAGGCGAAAACAACAACTTCGTAATTCACTATCAAATTGATTGCTTTCTCCACTCCCAACGACAGAGCTTTATAGAACTCTCTCCAGCTCTGCAAAACTGTTCATTCAGCTTGGCCTTCCAACCTTTGTGGGAACGAGTTGAACTTGTTTAACTCATCGGTCCCTTTTTATAGGTGGCAACATGAGAGGCACGTGACCAGTACCGATTCCTGGCAAAGCAGGTTGGGATCTCTGTGACGTAGAAGCTGGGAGCTGGTTCTTTACTTTCTTGGTTATGGCTCGTACCAGGTCTCTAGCATGTTTGAGACTGTAGGCTAAAAGAAATAATAAAAAAAAAACCGTGATGTTTTCTCGTTTTAGTAGTTGTCGACTAAGAAAGTTGAAAAAACTCAGTTAGTTAACTAAATTCGCTGCATACAGCGCTTTCACATGACGTAACGGGCGGCCATATTTGTGTTTCAATATAATGAGAGTCAAACGGTGGCGATGTTGGTGTTCCAAGCCAATCTTGTGGGGTAGACGTTCATGTACCAGAATCTATTGTTTTTAATTTCTTTGTTATTGATGCTCCGTTCTTTATCCACTGTCATACACCGACATCTGTTGTTAATGTGATCTATGCTTTGTTACTTATTAACTACTTCAAATTCCGGTATATGAAACACAACCCGTTTTGTGGGAGTTGTAGACGCTTTCTTTTGTTCCAACTAATTTGCAAAGACGCTGAGCGAAAGCACTTCAAAAAAAGAAATTGAGATTCCTCAAACTCTTTCTTGGAGTTGTGTAGGAGCTGTTCGTAAGGTCTCTCCTGATTGGTCGCAAGGAAACAATGACATGTCATTCTTTCAATTGTTTTAGACCCTGTTTACATGGAGTGGGGGACCCGGTCTTGTGGGGTTGGTTTCTTTTGTTTTCACGCTCTGGGGGACACAAAACAAAAGAAACTTACCCCACTAGACCGGGGTCCCCCGCTCCATGTAAACAGGGTCTTAGTATTGTTTAGGGTTAGGGTTAGGCACCATTGGTGACTTCTCTTTCGCGCGAGCAGCTGCTACATAACACCTCTCTTGTCTTTGTTCCGTTTGCTGTTCGGCCACCTGGGAAACTCAATAATGAGCATTTAAAATTAAAAAAAGGAAATCACAAGTGTAGAGAAAGTTTGGCTATCGTTTTCTCCAAACTCAAACATTCGAGCATCCAACGTGTGTACCTTTTAATCGAGCTTTGATTTCTTCGTTAAAGTAACCGCATTCAATCCACTCCTCAAAATCAGAAATAAAATCGAAGGCTGTCAGCCCTGTAATAAAATCAATAAACATAAGCAAACAGCTAATAAGGTCAATATATAATATAGCTGAATCCGCGAATGGACAAGATGAAGTCAATCCTTCATTCTAATTGGCTACTCGAACGGGCAAGATTCTCGGGATTTTCCGCGTTTGTCCCTAAAGTAAAAGTTCTCTTTCTGGAAATAGGCATATAATGAATCTTTTATTGGCCAATTTTGTGCGGTCAAGATGGCTGACTTCGTCTTGGTAAATAAAAATGCAAAAAAAAAAAAGAACTTGGCCAAAATCCAGCCGTCTTGATCTTACGCTTAGCCAATAACGCACATCTAACACAACGTTGTTTACGACTTCTAAACTAAGATGTATAAAGTAAGACACGTTTTTATTTTACCTTGTAGATTTCGTAACCGCACATTAGCCCCTGTTTGCGAAAAAGAAAAAAAATGCCTCGAAATAAATCTCAAAATGATCCAAACTCGTTCCCAGGGCTCTCCCTAACTCGATCTTGAGAGCGAGGTTGACAATAATCGCTTAACTGACTAAATGATAGATTGGTAACCAATCACGCCACTGAAGGATCAAAATGGTTTCGATTCTTGTATTTGTAGTCGAAGTCTATCATACAACTGGTCTAAAGAAAATGCATGGTGGTGCTAACGCATTTTCAAATTGCAAAAGACTGGTACAATAACGTCAAAGTCAAAGTCACGTTTATTTAGGCAGGGTAGCCCTATCAGCCATTGGCTGGTATCAAAAGGGGCCCAGCCCTGCAATACATGATCTCCCTCGCAGCCGTTTTTTGGATGTCACGCAACGCTCCGTTGCGTGACATCCAAAAAAACGGCTGCGAGGGAGACTATGCAATACATGTCTTTCGTCTTATTTATAGACCACGTGCAGCCTCTCTTTTTTCTTAGCCCGAGCGAAACACGCGATAGACAAAAATGACCACGCGTGTGCCGAGCTGAAGGCGACACATGATAGAGCGTTTTCACACGACGTCACGGCGGCCATATTGGTGTCCCAAACCAGTCCTGTAGGAGTTGAATTCTTTTCTTATGTAAATGCTTTCTATAGTTCAAATAAATTCCAGAGATGCTGGCCACGTGAGTCGTATTTCTAGAATTATATAAACTGTCTTTCTCTCGCTTTGGGGCTAAGCCGTGGAATGAGATACCCTGTCATATCCGACATCTCCCCAAGAATAAGTTCAAAAAACACTCTGCAAATTACTTTTTAATATTCTGAATTCAGAAGATGATATATTGATACGCCCACCCTAATTAAAGGCTCAATTAGCCAAACATGTCGAAAAAAAATTCTTCCTTATTATAGTTTCTACTTTTAGAATTTATTTGTTTAATTCTTTATTTTTTATAGTCTGTTATCTAGTCCTCATCCCTATTACGATTTTTATTCCATTTATTTCTAAACTGTAAACTTTCCTTAGTTAATAGTCTAAGTCTTTACTTTTATATTTTGCACGCATTGTCCCGCCTCGAATAGCTTTGCTAGCTGAGGGCAATACTTCTGTAATTTTATTTGTTTGTTAATAAAGTTGTTGTTGTTGTTGTTATTTCTTACAACTGACGCACAAGTACTTGATGACGTTATAGAATAGATATAGTTGACAATAAAAAGGTGTAGAATATCTCAATAAGTATCCTAAACTACTAGTCCCTGTGTCTTTACATACCGTGGTTAAGAAGAAGGCTAGCAGCATACAAATTGTTTGACTGAGTGGCGTAAAACAGCGGGGAGCACAGGTCATCATTCATAGCATCGACATCAGCGTTAAACGAGAGCAACAGCTCCAAAAGATCTGAAGCATTCACCAAGCCAGCGGTGAGATGCAAAGCCCTGGAAAACGAAAAAGAAAAAAAAAGGGCTGAAGACACGTGTCTGCAAGGTCAGGCTCCTCTATGATTGCATTGTGTCATTAGTGTTTGTATTTAATAACAAAATCGTCTCTTCCGACATATTTGCGACTTCAAAGATCGCAGATATACCTTTTGTTCCTCAATAAGAAAGTAAATAATGACAAAAACAAAATCAATTCTTACGTGTTTCCTCCAGGGTATGTTGGGTTAACGGAGGCACCTTTACCCAATAGAAATCGAACGGTCTCGACACGACTGCCACTAAAAAAACACAATATAACAACTGAAAAGTGAATTAAACAACGCAATAACGCACGTATCCTTTACCGTTTTCACCAAAATGATTAAGCGAGCATTTATAAGTTATCAAGTACCTGGCTTTGAGGTCTACACCACTGCAATGGTCGCAAACCGCTCAAGCTTCGTATCTATCCCGCAGTATTAATTGTTATATAACATCTTCGATTTTTCAGGTACGCACGTGTGTACCGTGAGTATAATTAGCTACGCTCCTGACTGGGTTCTCTAACAACCCGCATCGTCCAAAGGTTTTCCCGCGATTGAAGCTGGTCACATTTAATTTATGATGCAAATTAGACGTTTTCATCTTTATCTCAAAAATAGACTCGCATCTTTACTGACCTGTTTGCAGTGTCACTGAAATCGTGACACTGTGGAAAATAGTTTAAACGGTAGAGACACTCTAGGGCTCATTTGATTTAACTTACCATGGAACTTTCTCAAGTAAGATCTTATGAACAAGAAGATCTGTTTCCTTTTCTTTAAATTCGAATTTGTTCTCCGCCAACCTAAGAATTGAATATAAAAAATCTTAATGGAGACTAACACACCTTAAACGCCCACCTTATTTGCTGACGCCGGTCATTTACTTCATATCACGTCATCGTGACATTACTACTATCCCATCGATCCTAAAGAGCGTGAGAAGTTGGCGGGTATCGTGAATAAGGTCTATCATTCTCAAGTGATTTTTGTTATGTTCAAGCATGCCTTCATTTGATTTTAATTACAGTAAGTACGTTGCTAAAAAGGTTACTTTTACTTTTTCTTATTTTATTAATTCCAATATACGTACCATTTTGCACAGTCAAGGAAGTCGTTGGCTACAGACAAATGAAGTAAGCTGGGCGGGGTTTTCTGTAATATACATACAAGAAATCGATTAGCGTTCGAATTTAAATTATCCCTCCAATCTGGTTTGCAGAGGCTTTTTTCCTTTCTGAGAGAGACTCTGGGAACAAAACTGACATTGAAGTCCGGTGCCCTTCTGCCAAGCCTTTGTGATAGGTTAATTTTTCAACCAATCAGAGGGAAAACCCTTTCTTTGATGCCGGTGGTAAGCATTGTCTTTTACTGCTCTTTGGTTTGTAAGACTGTGTAACCTGATACGCGATGTGTTTGGCGAGGTTAACATGAACATGCGTAGTGGAACAGCCGAAATGTCGTTTTTAAGTACCTCACTCTCCATTTCCAAGTTTCGTTTTATGCTCTCTTCAGTGTCAAAGAACAGCAAGGCTTGAATGGCGTCCATCCGGCCTTGCATGGCACAACAGTGAATCGGCATTAAATCCTAAAAAAGTGAACATATTTTGATTGTTGGAAAGTATAACCAAGATCACGGACCCGCAAGAATGGTTTTCAACACGGTAGTTTTAGATCAACACGATTGTAATACTTCAGTGAAAGTGACAAAACGAAAATGCAGAAGCTAGAAACAGAAGGCGGAGGGAAAAAACTCATAGGAGAGACTTTGCTTCGCTGACCGTTTCGAGATGTAAGCAACTTCGAAGCACGGATAGTGGACGCGATATGAGAGACTTCACGATAAACCGTTTCCAGCGTGCCACAAAAACCTTGTCCCCCATGGTCTCTTTCCTTCCCTTCCATGTAGCAAGAGAGAGAAAAGAAGAAAGCTAGGAGAGTCTAAAAAACGAGCAAATTCGTCCTCAAAGTTGTTCCCTTGGAAATTGGGAGGGGGAGAAGATTGGTACGGGAACTACTAAATCATCCAAACTTGTAGCAACAGATATTCACTACCAGTTAGAGTAAAAAATGCCAAAACCACATGGATAAAAACCATATTTGGTTGGTATCAAGGCATAGGAAACAGGTACCCTACCCGTGTTCGTAGGCAAAATCGTTTAAGTTCCGTATTTTATACTTACTCGGTTATTTCTGATGTTTAGTGGAGCTTCTTTCATCAACTGTTGAAATTTTAAAAAAAAGTAGTCAACTTGAAGGAAAAAAAAGAGGGACGTATCCTGTCAAGCGGGTGTTTGAATATGAGAGAGGACCAGGGCCCAGTTGTTCGAAGGCCGATTAGCGCTTAAGCCGGGGTTAAATTTAACCCGGGTTTCTCTTTCTTGTGTTCAAAAACATTTTCTCTTATAGTTTTCTCTGTTATTTTTAGAGCTTCCATTCATCAACTTGTCGACAAAAAGAATTAAAACGGAAATGCTTTTTAATCTTTCATATCTGAATTCAAATCTCGCGCTAACCCTGGGTTATCTTAACCCAACTTTGAACAACTCGGCCCAGGTGTTTTGAAACTTTCATAACTCTACGTGATCGTCTTTCTATTATCCATGATGTGATTTGCTATGGGTGGAGGTTTGAAGTGCTTTAGTTAATCTTACCATTTTCTCAATGCATTCTAAGTCTGTAGGTTCTCCGCTCTCGCCATAACATTTCACATGCAGTGGTGTGTTGCCATCGTGGTCTTCACTGTCGATATTTGATCCTGCCTCAAGGAGTAGCTACAAACGAAAACGATATAAACATTCGCACTGAGTTAGATGAAGGTATTAAGGAGATATGGAGTGATGTTACGCAAAATGAAGACTGTTGATAGTTTTCTTCGATGTCAAAATTAAAAGTATTTTTAAGGATGGGCGGAAAAGTGTTTAAAAAAAGCGAATAATCGGGCGTAAACAAAAGCACCAGGTTACCTCTACAGTTGCGGCATCTTTGGCTCTGTGAAGGGGCGTGGCTCCTTTGTAATCTAAAATATTCACGTCTACACCCTCGGAGAGCAGGGTCTGAGATAAAACAAAGCAACAGTCAACATAACCATTGATTTTCGTTTTTAACTAGAAATAATGATAGAAAACAATAGCAACAAATGTAGCTACACGCAATTAAAATTCCACTTGTGAGAGGAGAAGTGAAAAAGTTTAACTTGGAACTACCAAGAGATAGCTCCACCCATCCTAGCGATCAAAGAGTCCAAACGGGAACCTTCGGAGGTCGATTTCGGTACCGTAATTACACGCGCAAATGCATGTTTGAATGTCTTTCACAAAAGATGAGAAGAGATTAGCTGACACAGGCAACTTATAAAAGCATTTTCGTTAAACGTTATAATGGGAACATGACGAAAAGTCTGAAAATTGTACCTTGATAACTGGTATAGCTCCAAAGAAAGAAGCGGTATGGAGCAGTGTGCTACCGCTTACACACCTGGAAAAAATAGAAAGAAATAGAAAAGAAGTTTCCAGTGGTGTTAAAACAGCAATCAAAAACGTTATGTGACAAGGGCTTGGTAGTGAATGATACCGCGCAAAAAAATTTGGTAGGTGCTTTTTTAAACAACTGGTCTAGTTGGGGGACATTTGAAAGAAACTGTTCTCTGAAGCAACATTACGTGGTCTGAAATGGAAACCAAGCAAGCCAAACTGAAACGTCTCTACAAAAGCTAATACAAATTTCCCTGTATAGCCAATAGCAACATGAGGGTTTAACCAAACATTTTACAGGAAATAAATGATATACCTGCTTCTTAAACTGGCCAACATATTCTCTCTCCTGTGATGCGCTTCTACCACTTTAGTCAACCTCTTGATATCACCAGATATCAGCTGAGGTACAAGCTGATGCCATTCTTTATACTTATCTGCAATGAGAACAGCCCAAAACAACTTTCTTTCAGCTTCGTCTGCCGGGTTCTATTGGGATCAAACCTTGCTGGTGGTTTATTAGATTGTGGTTACTAATGGTGTCCTATAGAAAGTTCACTGTCAATGTTGGTGAATCTGTAGACAGTTTTTATTCATAAAGGAATAACTATCGAAAATCAACTACAGAAACAGAAGGCGTTTACAAACAAGAAACATCATAACGAGCAAAAGTAACTGGCTTAAAAATCCGAAGCGCCCTGTATGAAGAACCCTACTTTGGGCTCCCTGTGTGTGATGGATTCCGTTTGCCAGTGAGCCACGATGTTATAAGGGGATTTCTTTTCCTTTTTTATGTATGGCGTGTCACCCACATGTACATGGCGACACTTTCGGAGGCTTCGCTAATATCTCCCACCCCGAAACAAGTTCAAGGGTATTATCCATACCTTCCAAAAACTTCTTGAGTTCATAATGCCGCATTAGATCAAAGGCTGTCTTACTACTCTTGTTACGTTTCATCACGTCAGCTCCCCACTCGATAAGGAGCTAAAAACAGGAAGAGAATAAGCCATTTCAGAGACATATGAATCACGCCGCCCATGAGTTAGTCAGTCCATCTATCAGTCAGTCTGACAGTTGGTCTATACGTCAGTTGGACAGTCAGGCAGTCAATTGTATCATTAGTCTGCCAGTCACCCACTAAAACAAGCCATCAATCACCCAAACAGTCAGCCAGTTAATAAGCAAGCTAACCAGTCATCCAGTAATCAAACAGGTGGATCAGCTACCATTCAGACAGTCATCCTGTCAAACAGTCAGCCATTCAGTGAGCCAATCATTAGGTCAGTAATTCAGTCAGACAGCTGGTTGAACAGTCAGTCAGTCAGTCAGTCTGTCTGTCAGTCAGCCAGTCAGACAGTCAGTCAGTCCGTCAGTCAGTCAGTTTGTCAGTCAGTCACGCAGTCAGTCTGTCAGTCAGTCAGTCAGTCAGTCTGTCAGTCAGTCAGTCTGTCTGTCTGTCTGTCAGTCAGTCAGTCAGTCAGTCAGCTGCTGCCTGATAGATCAAGTCACTTTTCACCTGACAGATCTCTTTTTGTAAACTTTCGGTGGCCAGGAAAAATGGCGTGTTGTTGTGATTATTGAACATATCAATGTCAGCTCCATTTTCCAACAAGTAAAGAACGATATCCTGAAAACATAAAAAAAAAAACAATGCAAAAAAAGGTGACGAAATGGACGCGCAAGCTCCTAACGCCATAAGTACAAATTTTGTTTTAGTTACAGCGGTTTCAGTAGAATTTCGCCTTGTGACTGGTCGAAAAAATGGCAAAATGTTTTCAACCAGTCGGAAGAGAACGGACCATGACCTACTCAAGTGCGTTTTTTCGCTGTTGCCTCCCGGCTTTTAGCGTAGGAACTCGAGGTCACCACTCTGTTTAACTAAAATCCAGGCAGACATACCCTGTGAGCCAATCAGATTTTGGAGCTAGCTGATGTCAAGGGCTAGCATGCGGACACAGACATATTTCCGGTCGTCGCTACCAGAAATACGTCTGTGTCTGCAGGCTAGTCAAGGGCGGGAAAACCCAACCAGTAAACCATGATTTATAGTTTTGATGTTTAAGCCAGACTGGTCGATAAAAGAGACACTGAAGCAAAGCAAGCTCAGCTGAAACCGATTTTTTAGCATCACCTCTTCTCATATTATTTACTTTATTCCTTAAAGATAACAGCTAATGCTCTCGTCATTACAAGTTTACTATATACAATTGCCATATACATTTCAAAACAAGTAAGTTTTAATAAGGTCGATGAGGCAAGTCAGAACTGCAATAAATTATGTGAAAACTGAAGATACAGTTTAAAAAATGTAGTGGAAACAAATTGCTCTAAGTTTACTCGACATAATAAATATTCATTCTTTGCCAAAATTAATAAACAGTGGAATGATTTGCCTAAGGAAATAGCAGAAGCAAAGAACTCAGTACCCTTTAAAATGAGATGAAGAACAAAATTGATTTACCTAAGCGTATTTTATGACAGTGCAGAATGAGAGTTTTAATTGTAAAATTTTATCTTCAGTTTCACTCATAATGTTTTTTTATTTTTTGTAAGGTTTTCTTTTCTCATTTATATTTGTTTGGAAGGTATTCTCGATAGGGCTAACCTCTGGTATCTTCCCTTTATATGATTGGTTATATGCATAAAGTATATTAATATCATTGCAACTACTCACCAAGTGTCCATTTCGACAGGCCATATGAAGTGCAGTGTTTCCTGATCCGTGTTCCTTGGACTTAATAAAGTTCTTGTCAGCATTAAAAAAAGCCACCTATGGTAAACAAGGAAGAGGAATTGATCTCTAAAATTGATAAGCAATTTACAATTATTAGTCAAGCTGATCGGAGCTAAATACCGCAAATATTCGGAGCCATTATTTGCCCCTTTATCAACGTAAGGGGTAGGGAAAGACGGATCAGAGGATTATTCGTTAATTCGTCCGTCGTCTTTTGTCACGGTTTTATCGAAGACGGGCAAAAAGGAAAAACTTGCAAACGACGGCCCAGTTTTTTTGCAACATCGTACTGACCTAAAAACACTATGAAAAGATTCCCTACGCTAGAATTGGCGGTCTATAAGAGGGATTTTTGGTGAACGGTGGTTTGGTGAATCCAGCCTTTAAAACACACTGTAGTTTCATGTATTCTGTGAATCATTTGCCTCGTGACTCAGGAGTCAACTTTTGTCATCCAGATTTACTCTTATCTGACTTCCTAAACGTTTCAAAGATGTAAAATAGGACTTTTCTAGTCAAAACATACAAAAATAACAATTCTTACCTGCTCGCCGGTCATCGAAATAAACTTTTTTTTCTTTAAGAATATGATAAGAATAAAGCTAAGGCTAAAGGATATAATCATTTGCGTGTTGAAAATCTGTTAATACAATACAATTATATGTTTTTAACTTGACTAACTTTTAAATTAGCCACCAAAAAGAAACCCAACGTGCCACTGCACGAACCCTATTGAATTTGAAATTCTTATTTGACGGCCTTTGATCACGTTTATTTAGTTTCTCTACCCAGAAAAGTCACGTTTTCAACTGATGTGAAGAGAGAAATGATATAGTTTGAACAGGAAATACTCAGATGGTTTTAAGGTTTAACTTTTGTTCAGCGATTAACCGCCAATATCGTGTTATGGTCACTGAATTGAACGTTATATACGTTTGATGGAAAGACCATATCACCCAATTAGGAAGTAAAATAAGAAAAGTATATCTGGATGACAAAAGTTAACTCTTGAGTCTCGAGACAGGTGAGGCGCAAAATACAGGAAAATACAGTGAGTTTTAGAAGTTCGACTCTGTTGTAACTGTTATAACTAGTGTCAGTCAAGAAACTTCACAAAAGACACTTCTTATAGACTACTAGTCTGATCTATCAAGAGGTCAGCAATAAAGTGTTTTCCGTTGGTTTTGCTGGTTTTAAAAATGCGGCACACGTATTTCCTGTATACATTAGCATCATCAATGCAAATGAGCAAAAGAGGAAATGAGCAGGCCAAAATATCGCTCAATGTTTTTATAAATGCACGTGACACGAGAAATTGTTTATTTAAGCACTTTCGTCTTTGGCGAGCAAAGTTTCAAACTGCAAACTTACTGAAACCTGCTTAATACTCGCCACTGTTGGACCTGTTAATACCCGAAGAACCCAAAGTAGAATCTGGCAAGTTTTACGAACATCAAAGACGGGATATTTATCAGGAGAAAAACACCTATTTTTCAGTGGGCATAAAAAGTATCGCATTCACAGTCAGTGAACGAAAAGAAGAAACATCGCCATGACCACCGGAATAATAAGCTTTGTATTACTTGTCTTGGTGTCCATTGTGATATGCTTTGTGATGAAAATATACTCAATTCTGAGAGCCGTTGAGTACAGTTTTCACCCAGTTCACGATATTGAGATGGAGGCTACAAAACGGACAGAGGTGCACGGTGGAGTAGCACCAAGACAGAGGCAAACCCTGATTTTGATGGCCGAGAAGTACGAGAACACCTCGCGCGTTCCACAGGAACATGACGAAAGAAACAGCGAAGTAAGTGAATTAAAGTTTAAAAAGAAAAGGGAAGAAAAAACTTTGTATTGTACTGTGTTAAGTTCAAGCTAACGAAACTTTCACGGCCGGAACAGGGCTTAACCTTAACCTATCTAAAATGTTGCTCTCCGTGGCCTTTGAATTTTAGGGGTGACGAATGGTCTTTGCGAGCATTCGCGAGCATGCCGAGCACTGCTATTTTTTTTGCGAGCACGACCAGAAATAAAAAAAATTGCTTTGCGAGCTTGCGAGCAACGCAAAAATTTGGGGAGCACGAGTAAGCGAGCACTCCTTTAAATTTTGCGAGCACATCGAGCAAAGGTAAAATTTTGCGGGCAGTTAAAAATTTTCATGGACCATTCATCACCCCTAATTTTACAGAAAGTTCATTGTTACTAGTTTCTGCTCTTGAGAGCACACAGCGCTGAATGAGAACTGCTACGGACGAAATCAAACCATTTGGAAGCTTAAATAGACTATCAAGAAACATTAAGATTTTTAACTTGCGTTGAAAGGCAAATAGTCAAAGATGTGGTTTTTATTTACGTTTCAGTTGTTTTTTAACAACCCTTCGCGAAAAGATGTTTCTTTACAGAAGTCATGCTCAACCAACTTTCATTAACGTTGTATAATCGAGTTTAACAACACTGTTTCTCAGGACAGCAAGTCAAGCGCCGCTAATGCCATTGTTGGAAAGTCAGGGCATTCTTCTGCCCCCACTTCTCGCGTCTGGGGACCTCGCCACTAGGGCGCGTAGTGTTCGACTACAACATCCGGGTACCTCTAATTTCACTTGCTTTTCTTTTGTTAGGTTATTGAAGCTGGGAAGTGAGCAAGACCAAGATAAAACTAGATAGCTTTTACGTACAGTGTACATATTGTATATATTGGCGATGCTTTTCATAGAGAACTCTTAATCAGAGTTTCGATGTCTAAGAATTAGTTGAAATCGTAGTTTTACTTTTGATACTGATCCTACAAAGCCTTTCATAAGAGAAGCTCGAAAAAGTAACATAATTCTTTGTTTGTATTCGCTCATAACCACGTCATAACTGCATAGCTTTGACTGGAAACTTTTAAATGTTTGAGGTATTCAAACCTTAGCAACAATCCTGTATGGACCTGTATCAATATTATGAAGGTGAATGATACCGCCTGTGTCACTGACTGTAAAAGAAATCATGAGCTTTCTCAACATTTCCTAAGTGTTTTTTGTAAGCTCCATGGCTGAGTGTTTTAGTTTCTTTTGGTTTTCCTCACAATTTACCTTTACGAAGTTATCTTTTTTCCTCAGTCTCTAAAAATCACGTCAATCCATGACAACTTGAGCATTTTAACGGCTTGACTCTTGTACGATGTCAGCTGATACTGAGTTGTTTTCTTCCCGTTAAAACAACAAGAAATGGAACCCAAGTAAAAAAAAAAAGAAAAACGAAAAAACGAAAACAAGGAAACGGAGCTACCAATTCGGCCACCCACGGCAACCATCTATCTAGAGAATAATAATTTTATAAAAACATTTAAGCATGCCGGAAGTTTCGTGACTATCCTGTTTGTGCAATACCAATAAGATTTACATGTTTGTTGTTTTTATACAAAGGCCTTTCGATACGGTTTTCCTATTCTGGCTTCTACAATAACCACTTATGGATTGAAGTTTGACATGTCACAATTTGTGGTCGGCAAAATAGAAATATTAAACCATGACTAAAAAAAAGTAAGGACATAATTTTGCACATTGTCACCGAACTAGAACTCGGAGAGTCGTGAGTTCGATTCTCTCACCTGGAGCTCGGATTTTTTTTTTTCGAGCTTTCTTCTGGTGTTACAAATCCTTATATTTTGAATGTTACGCAACAATGCCGATGCTCATATTTCGAGCTTGGGCTACCTGTGGCGTCACTTCGTGTCTTGTATGAATGAGTTGAAGTTCATAAATGTGGTTTCCTTTAGCTTACACACTTGTCTGGGCGGGCTCTTAAAGGCCGTTGAAACCACCTTTGTTGAAACCATAGGTAGCCCAAGCTCGAAATACGAGCATCGGCATTGTTGCGTAACATTCAAAATATAAGGATTTGTATGGGAAAAAACCTATCGTTTCTGAAACTCACGAAAATGAAAGGATTTCAATAAAAAACAGCTTACCTTACTTAAAATGTGTGTTACGTCTCTCCTGTGTGGTCCACGGGCCGATTTATGGCCGTTTTATGGGTTTTTATGTAAACGGTTTTCTCAAATCGGCTCGTGGACCTCACAGGAGAGACGTAACACACATTTTAAGTAAGGTAAGCTGTTTTTTATTGAAATCATTTCATTTTCGTAGGTTACAGAAACGATAGGTTTTTTTCCCATACAAATCCTTATATTTTGAATGTTACGCAACAATGCCGATGCTGATATTTCGAGCTTGGGCTACCTATGGTTTCAACGGCCTTTAAGAGCCCGCCCAGACAAGTGTCGGAGGAGGACATGTGACCACGGAAATTGTGTATTTAAGCACTCGACTTACGCTTTTAAAACTGTCGATTTCGGTGGAATATTGTAAGGTCATAATTGTTTAAGAGAAAGGAGAAAAAAAAAGCAGAACGGCTACTTTTCTTTTTTTTTCACTGCGTTGTTTTACGCCTTGTTCAAGTTCTCACCACCATTTACCGTCCATGCCTGAAATCCATTCCATTTCCTAATTCCTCATGGGATCATTTACAGTCGATTTTGGGGATCATTTGCGGTCGGGTCGGGAATCACTTGCGGTACTGTACAGTTGTAAGTACTTAAATTTCCTCGGAACATCAGTCTACTTTTAGAACAGAAAATACACGTGACGCAAGAAATTATTTCAAAGCAGTAAGCTTACTGAAACGTGCTTGATACTCGTCACTGTTGGACCCGTTAACACATATCCGAGGAACCCAAAGTAGAGTCCGGCAAGCTTTAAGAACACCATGACGGAAAATTTATCAGAAGAAAACCAATTTTGCACGTATTTTTCAGTGGGCAGAAAAAGTACCACATTCACAGTCAGTGAACGAAAAGAAGAAACGAAGTCGCCATGACGACCGGAATAATAAGCCTTTTATTACTTGTCTTGGTGTCCATTGTGATGTACTTTGTGATGAAAATATACTCAATTCTGAGAGCCGTTGAGTGCAGTTTTCACCCAGTTCACGATATTGAGATGGAGGCTACAAAACGGACAGAGGTGCACGGTGGAGTCATGTTCTTGTGGAACGCGCATGACGAAAGAAACAAAGAAGTAAGTGAGTTTAAGTTTGAAAAGAAAAGGGAAGAAAAAACTTTGTATTATACTGTGTTAAGTTCAAGTAACGAAATTTTCACGGCCGGAACAGGGATTAACCTTAACCCATCTAAAACGTTGCTTTCATGTGACCTTTAAATTTTACAAAAGATTTTGTTCCTAGTTTCTGTTCCTAAGAGTTCAGAGCGCTGAATGAGAGCAGCTACGGACAAAATCAAACCACTTGGAGGCTTAAAAAGACTACAGGAAACATCTAGATTTTTAACTTGCGTTGGAAGGAAAAAAGTCCTCATCAACCAGACTGCTCGAAGTCTAGTGTTAGACTACAACATCCGGGTACATCTAATTTCACTTGCTTTTCTTTTGTTAGGATATTGCAGCTGGGAAGTGACCAAGACCAAGCCAGATAACTCTTACGTACAGTGTACATATTGTATATGTTGGCGATGCTAAATCAGAGTTTCGATGTCTAAGAATTAGATGAAATCGTAGTTTTATTTTTGAGACTGATCCTAAAAAGCCTTTCATAAGAGAAGCGCGAAAAAGTAACATAACACTTTGCTTGTATTCGCTCATAACCACGTCATAACCGTATAGCTTTGAAAACCTTTAAATGTTTAGACTGCAAAACAGTCCGTATTTTTGCGTATTCAAGCACGTGCGAGCAGTCAAACAGAAGGTGTGGAACGAGGCTGAAAACAGAGAGCGAGACTGGGGAGAGACGCTGGCTCGCGCGCTTCGCGCGCGTAAGACTCTCACGCCACGCTTTACCGATTTCTTTACTGATTTTGAGGAAAAAACCGACTGTTTTGCAGTCTATTAAATGTTTGAGGTATTCAAACCTTAGCAAAAATCCTGTTTGGACCTGTATCAATATTATGAAGGTGAATGATACCGCCTGTGTCACTGAATGAAAAAAGAAAACAGTTCTTATTTTTTTTGTAAGCTCCATGGCTGAGTGTCAGTGTAGTTTCTTTTGGTTTTCCTCACAATTGACCTTTATCTTCTTTTCTTCTCTAAAATTCATGTTAATCCATGATTAGGACACTTGTACGATGTTAGCTGATACTGAGTTTCTTCTTTCCGTTATTACAACAAGAAATGGAGAAAAAAAACAACGAAAACGAAAACGAAACATAAGGAAACGGAGCTACCAATATAGTTTAGATATATGGTCGCCTTGAGTGGCCAGCGAAAATGTTTCACCAATCAAAAGACGTGAGAACAATACTTTTATAAAAATATTTAAGCATGCCGGAAGTTTCGTGACCATCCTGTTTGCGCGCATAATAAGATTTACATGTTTGTTGTTTCTATACAAATGCTTTTCGATACGGTTTTCCTATTTTTCTACAAGACCCACTCGTTTAGACATGTCATACTTTGTGGCAAAATGGAAATAACCATGACTAGAAAAACTATCGTGATCAGTCCAGTAAAGGCATAATTTTGCACTTTGTCACCTATCATCCGAACTTGAACAAGAACTCGGAAGGTTGTGAGTACGATTCTCACCTGGAGCTCGGATATTTTTTTGAGCTTTCTTCTGGGTTTAGAAATCTCCTTCTTCCGAATTAAGACAACAGGTGATGGGTAAAGATAACGCCATTAATGTATACATCTAAACTTTGAAACTTTCATTTAGAATAGCGATTAAGCCTTTTTTTTAAAATAAATAATGTTTCAACGTTGCTCACTCACTCGCGCGCGCCTTGAAAACAAACGCTCGGAGGCAAGCTAGTCCAGTTCCGGTCCTGGAAGAAGAAGAAGAAGAA